TTTTTTCTTTAGCAACCGGTTTCGTCTTATTGAGTAATGTTTTGTTGCCACTTGTAAGATGGTCATTTACGAATATTCGGTTGTTTCCTTGAAGGTATGCGTTCTGAATGACATACGCGAGTCTATAGTGACTCCTAAATATTTGCCCTTTTTCTCCCAGGGGAGCGCTTGGCAATAAAGAGATATTTGCCCTAGCTTTCTGCATTCGCAATGACCTTTATAAAGATGTGACGGATAAGTACTTCGTGTGAAGTGAATCGCTACATCTATCGGCGGCGCTTTGGAGACGAGTAGAGAGCCGATTAAGATTTTTATCTGTGTCAAAGAGGTCCGGTCATCCGCGCGAAGTTTGACGTGGGGGTCTTTAGGTATGTCACTCGTGTAGAGCGTAAAGAGTAGAGGTGAGAGGCAGGAGCCTTGTGAGGGTGCCTTCAACTCGATATCGAAAAGAGGTGTTCGTTAGGAAGGCCCGAATGGTGTGTACGAGCCTATCTGGCACTTTGAGTGTGTATAGTTTGTAAAGCAAACCGTTTTGCCAGACCTTGTCGAATGCCTTTGCGACATCGAAGAAAAGGGCCCCCATGCTGATATGTTTCGGGTGATTGAAGCCTTTCAGGATGTATTCCGTTAGGCGATATAACTAGTCGGGACAGGAGTGTCTAGCTCGAAAGCTGAATTGTTCCGCCGGCGGAAGGCCGTTGGAAAACACGTGCTCTGTGAGCCTGTTTAATAAAAGCCGCTCGTATAGCTTCCCCAGTCAACTGAGGAGGCTGATGGGACGACAGCTTGAGGGCAGATTGGCGGGTTTCGGCTTGCGGATGCCGTTAACCGTGGCTTCTTTCCAGTCGTCCGGAAAGGACCAACTAGAGAGAAGTATATTGTAAATGGTCGCCAGTAAACAGATAAGCGGCCCAGGGAGAGCTTTAAGGATTTTATTACTAATATTGTCTGGGCCCGGGGCGGATTGAGGTTGTAAATTTTTGATAATATCTTGGACTTCTTCAGGGGTCACTGAGTTTAATGGATCGCCCTCCGGTGGAAGCACAGCCCTAGTTTCGATTACGCCGTCCACCTCCGTTAGGTGGGCTGTATCGATGTGTTCGCGCGATGGCGTGCTCTAGGTTTTCCGCAAGGCATTCAGCTTTTTCGGAGTCACCTAGGGCTAATGCAAGTCTATTAAAGAGTTAATTAGGCATTGCTAACGGCGATAAACATTGGCAGGGATCTGCTTTCAGACTGCGGCCCAACCGCCAGTAGACGGTGTGCGATGGCTCGATGTCCTCTAGGAGAGTGTCCCAAGTGGTAAGTCGGTGTTCCGATACGTGATCTTTGTTTCTAAGTGACGGCGTCGAAGTAGGGTTCGGTTCGATTCTGATCGGTATCAATCGAAAGCACGTTTGGCTGCATTTCATTGTCTAATTAGCAGTCGCATGTCGGGTGGAAAGTTTAACCGTCGGTCGCCCGACAGTTTCACCGTCCGTTCCGAATCTGCGACTGCGGAAGTAATAGTAGTATAAAGTGCAAAGCATCAAATTGTAGTATAAATACCATAATTATAGTACAAAATGCAACTCCGCATTCGCGACAATATTAGTAGGCCACAGTTTTTTCCCGTTCATTTTTATCTTTTACGGCTTTGAGTTAGTTTGAATAAAATATCGTTTTTGATATGATTTCGATATTCTAATTTTTATATCGATATATCGGATCAAAACGTATCGGCCAAAAATATCGATATATATTTTAAAAAATATAAATATATCGATATTTTTTTGGCATCCCTACTAGAGTAGAGTACTAGTGTTTTGTTCTGTGCAGGGCCTGTCAACTTTGTTCTACGAACAGAATGTATGTGGGCCAGAAAACAAGAGAGAGACAACGATAACAAAGTAAAAGAGATGAATTTAGACATTTATATGATGTTGCCACCAAAAATACAACATCCTATTCTCTATAATAATGAGTTAGAAATTGATTTTTAATGTAAAATACCCTCGAAGATATCTTTTGCTATTGTTTGGGTTTCGAAACAAATATACTTTATTAATAAATATAGCATATTTAACTGATAATTACATAATAAAAAATATTTGGGGATATTGGGGAGATTGGGCAACAATATATATTATTATGACGCACAGAACACTAATACTCTCACGAGTTATGACGTCATGACGTCACAAGGTAGGAAAATGTCCGCCGCGAACGCACCATTTTAACTTGTTTGTACCAATGTTTATTTGCAATAAATAAAGTTCCATTTTATTATTTTATTAGTAGCGTTGAGTTGAGCCCCCTCCTCCGCGGCTGTGTTTTAGTGAAATTAAGTGTGTATTTGTGAGAAATAGTCTCGGTGTATGGTCAATTTCGCGATGATTATTGACTTCGCAGAAAGAGAACTCTAAAATATGTTTCAAGTGTGGATCTTCGCCATCTAAAGATCCCAGCGTCACTTTATTTCGGTTCCCAAAGCCTGGCTCAAACAATGCTCTACGGTATGTACCTACTTCTGTACTTTCAATGCTATTAGTTTTAAACGACTTGGAGTTAAGAATAACACACTACAACTATTGTCAATGTATTTGATTTGATAGCCTTTGCTTATGTATTAAGCTTTGCAAAATGGTGTTCGGTTGCACCTAAAAAAACTACTCGTTTTCTAAGGGTGAGGGGTGTGTCGTTTGAATAGGACGAACAATTCCTATAAAAAAAAAAAACCCCTTATGAACCCCAAATTTGGGATGCAAATTTAAAATGCCCGCCCGGAATATGATTATTATGGTATGTTATTGTCATATTTTTTAATTTTCAGGTGTGAATTATGGGCAAAATTTTGCTTCCCAAATGAAGCCACACAGTTCTTCACCAAAGTTCCAGGATGCTTTGCAGCAAACATTCTAATAGCACATGCTTTAATGAGAAGAAGTTGTTCAGATTACCTGTACCTGATGTTCAATCCCATAAGGTTGGTACAATAAACACTTAAAAAGTTTATTTAAAACACCTTTATTACAGAGAAACACTGACATTATGTTGTTTATAAGGGGCACTATACAATTATTTAAAATTTATATTTTATTTTAAAAAAAATTAAAATTTATTTTTTTTCCTATATATCTACATCTATTTAGGCATTTGAAAGTTATGATGGAATAAATAAACTCATACATACATAGACCATGAAAACATAACACTCCATTTTTTGGGCTGTTGTGTGAAGATAACTCAGTTTGGCATGTAAAATATTAGTTAGAAAAACTAAAACTTTTAATAACAATTAATTCTTTTTGATGCCAAAACTGTACTGTGAGTACTAGTTGACTTTTTATATTAACAATGGTTTGCTTAAGTTTTTCTTATTTTCTTTTAGGATACAACAATAATCTGCCTGAACAAACTGCAGTGTTTGAACCAAGTGGTTCAACAGGCAGTGGTTTGGATGAACAGGCAAGTGCCTGTTCATCCAAAATTTACCCCTTAAGAGAACAGAATGCCAATATCATCACTCCAACAAGTTCATAAATGTTTGTGCGTAACTCCTCAAATCAAGAAGGTGGCTTTTGTGAAAGTAAATTATTGATAAAGAAACTGAAAAGGAGTATGAACAAGGTATATTGATCACAAAAAACTGTAAATCTTTTAAAAAATGAAGCGTTTTTAAATTTTACTTGTAACATTAAAACAGTTTGTGAGCAACATAATTACTAATTTTAAAACATTTCTGACGTCAGCCACAGACATGAATGTAATAATGCATGTAAGAGATATTTTACAGGTCTGTAAAAAAATCTCTTGCATCACCTCAAAGAATTTATTAGATTGTGTAGAAAAAAGTGCAAATATCTAAAATAAATAAAGTATAAATATATTTTTAGAGAAAGATGTTAAAGAGCTCTATAAATTATGACTTCCTTCAACATAGCATTTTGCACAAAGACTTAAATATAATAAGTTACATAATAAACAGTGTCTTCGATATTAGCATTAAGATATACTGTGTATTAAAAAACAGAATGTGTTCTGAAGACCCATGTAAATCTGCACTACAAAGAAAAATGAATTATGCATAAATAAATGTCATCAAAAACAAGAAATATATATATATATATAAAAAACTCCACAACAAATAGCTGTGAGATCTGTAATGACTAGGCGCTCAATGAAGAACTTAACATTGTATTAATTAAAATACTTTATTGTCAAAATTGCATTCAATAGTAGATTATTCTTATATATCTATGTTGCCGTGCGAGCGCCGAGTGATTACAGGACAAGCTTTTTGACTACAAGCTTACACTATGAAAGGTAAACTGTATTTTTTATTTTGAGTGAAGATGTCTGAAATACTTAAACTGAATAACTTTCTGTACTTTCAATTTTCTGCATAATGTCATTTATATTCTTTATTGATCTAAAATTACATATTATCTAATAAACCAAATCCACGCGGCATTTATATTGTATTTTAAAAATATTATATTTATTTGTGTTTAAAATTTGCTGACGTTTGAGATTCATTATCATTACACCCACTTACTTGTGATTTTTGTATCAAATTTCTGGAAATGAATACAACTCATGTTTGAATTCATGTAAATGTATGTCTGTTATAATATATGTTACATAAATGAATATCTAATATGTTGTATTTATTATCATGCGAAATAAAAAAAGTGAAGTACCAATTCATTGGTTTTTTTATGGTTAATTAGACTGCTCTCTAAACATGAATAAATATAGCAATTTATGCACAAGTACCTTTAAAATTACTAGTTTGAAATTCCCGCCCTAGGATTTGCTCACTAGTTCTTTTGGGCAAAACACAGATGGCGCCGGTCGGTAAGAAAAAAATTCCTCCATTTGTATGGAGCCGTAATTCTTCTCTTTGAGTAAAAGTGTTCTGTGGTTCTGTGCTATGGATAGTCCAGGATAGTCTATAGTGTGGCTATTGGATTTATTTACATTATTATCGTAATTGTAATGTAACGTCTTGAATTAACATGACAGGAAGTTCTGTTGATATCGGAGTATTAGAGGAAAAACCTACATGGCTTCTACATCCAAGATTTTTTCCGAGTAAAGTAGGAGGAAAACCAGCATGGCTTGATCTTAAAAATTTGCATGCACCTGCAGAATTAACCTGTAAAAAATGTAATGACCCTTTGGTGTTTTTATGCCAAGTATGTATAAATATATATATATATATATATTATTTTATTGAAAGATTGGAAACTAACTTGTCATGATCTTTTTTATAAAGGTATATGCACCCTATGAAGAAAAAGAAGAGAGTTTCCATCGAACTGTTTTCATTTTTATTTGCCGGAATGGATCCTGCTGTCGTACAAATTGTGCAGACAACTTTTTAGCCATACGCTGTCAATTATCACGCAAAAATGATTTCTATTCATTCGAGCCATATGAAGAAAACGAGAATGAGGTAAGGAAATATATGAAACAAAAAATACTAACTTTTCCTCTATTTTTTTCTTTGACAGATATCATATCAAAAGAAAACACCTATAAAATAAACCCAAAACATAACCATATTTCCATAGTTCAGTAAAAAAAACATAAGTTCACAAGTTGAACAATTAGTTTAAACCATCATTTCATTTTACAGCAATTTTCTATGGCAAAATGGCCCAAATTATGCAATGTCTGTGGATTAAAGGGACCTTCACACTGTTCTAAATGTAAAAAATCATTTTACTGCAGTCGTAAACATCAAATTTTGGATTGGCAAAAGGGTCATAAAGAATATTGTTCAATCCTGCAGGTATGTCACTTACATAATTCTATTATTTGAACATTTTACACAATACAAATGTTAAGCTTGAATTACTGTCTTATTGTTTATTATTGTGGGTTTTGTTTATACTCTATTATATTTTGGATGAGCATAAATGATTTTGGAATTTCTGATAAATGGATTTTTATTACAGGTTGATGAAAATAACAAACTCCCCAATTTTATTGTAACAGAAGCAGGAAAACAAATATTATTTAAAGAATGGGAACTTGTTGTAGATGCAGAAGATGAGGTGTTCATAGTTTTAATTAGTAATATCAAGTGTAAAATGTTGATCATAATATCATATGGATTTCATATACTTTTAGGAAAGCAACCAAAATGTTGATGAACAGCATGAAATGGATAAATTAAGAAAAATGATGAGTGAAAAGAGAGCTGGAACTCTAAGCAACATCAGTGAAAGTGAACTAGAACAGTATACTAGAAAAATACCAGATGATAAACTATTCAATAAGTTCAGTAAAAGAATTTCTCGACACCCTGAACAAGTTTTAAGATATGATAGAGGTGGTAAACCTTTGTGGATAACTGGTAATACAGAAAACATAGTTAGTATACCAAAGTGCCAGTATTGTAATGGTGAAAGACAGTTTGAATTTCAGGTAAATAAAACAATAATCTGATATGCATATATGCTTACTATTTTAAAATGTTATGATTTGTGAAGGAAGTGATAATAAACACTTTCTTAGTATTTTAAAATGTCATGATCTTTTTTCAACATTTACAAGTTTGAAAATTAATAAAATAATAAAACAATTGAACTCATATCCAATCGGTTTGTATACTGCTAGTTTTGGATTTATTGCGGTCATTAATCAGGACGAGTAGGATGAGTTCGCGATTACACACCACCTCACACTGCGCTTATAAACTTGAAAGAACTTATAGCTCTTAACTCACTATGTCTGCTACAAAATCGTTTAATAATCCGTGTCTCGAGTTTCTAAGTTGAGCGGCAGGGCTCATTCTTTATACCGTAGAGGCCACACATCCTACTCTCAGGAGATGGCTGGACAGGCAACACGGCACCCTCACCTACCTTGCAACTCAGGTCCTTACGGGACATGGTTGTCTCGGGAGGTACCTGTTTCGCGAGGCGAAGAGGGAGCCCACAGCTGAAAGCCATCACTGTGACGTATGTGCCGAGGAGACGGCCCAACACGCGCTGGAAGAGTGCCCAGTCTGGACGGAGCAGTGCCGCGAGCTATGCGCTATTGTGGGGCACGACCTCTCGCTGCCAGCCGTTGTTCGCGCTATGGTTGACAGCGAGAGGGCGTGGGGTGTTGTCCCCGCAGTATGCGAGATGATAAAGTCCTCCGGGTGATAACCCGGAAGGAGGCCGCGGAGAGAGAAAGGGAGGCAACTGCCACCCTGGATATCCGCCGCCGGAGAACAGGGCGCAGGAGGCTGGCCTAAGCGCGCAACCTTCCTCTCTGATAGTGAAACCCTGAGCGCCAGGCAAGGCACCCCCATCTGTCGCTCAATATGGGGCTCGTGACATGCGTGCCAATTGCAACCCCCCAAAAAGGCCATCTGTCGCTCAATATGGGGGGATCTCGTGATTATGCGTGCCAGATTTAGTAAGTCACAAAGTTCGATTGTCTGGCCAGCACTGATCCATCAGGCCGCAATTAGCGGTCCGGCCCCAAATCCGACCCTGAACTCATCCCAATATCACTAATAGACATTTTATTATTTTTGAATTGTTTTCAAATCGTTTAATTTTTTTCGTTAGTAATGTCTCATGAAACATTAGATAATATCATTCCTGGAAAGCTCTAGTTTGATTTTCATATGATCATATGTAATCAGTTTAATAAACTTGACAAAGGTGGCACCAACATCTAAATATACTTGTGGTATTGTATTTAATGGTTATTACCCCGCTGTCAGAAACAGTTAAAATCTATATTAAAAAGATACATTTGAATGCAATCCAATTTTCAGGTTATGCCGCAACTTTTAAATTTTATCAATGTTGGCATTGATTTTAATAGTATAGATTGGGGCATATTGGTTATTTACACCTGCAAAGAAAGTTGTAATAATGGGCCTGCTTATAAGGAAGAATTTATTATAAAACAAGATTTAAGCAACTAAACTATTATATAATAAAGCATTGGTTACATAATCAATTATCTTTTGCTGTTTTCTTTCCATAATCCTCAGATATATATGTAAGAAGGTCATTGAGACCACTAAATTCTGTCCTTGATTGAGGAGGATTATTTTTAGGAAGTATGGGTAGCATGTTTCCCATTTTTATTCTAAACTCTTTAAGCTGGAAAAGAAAAGGATATAATAATTCAACCTGTATATGCTAATTAATTATTATAAATTATAGTAAAAGTTTAGAGCAGTGAAACGTTTTCTACTTAAAAAACTCAAACAATACAGTAGCACAGAAAAAAGTAAAGAGTAGACTGTTTACTGTAGATCCAACTGCTGGGCCAAAGCCACCTCTGCATGGTGGGTATTAGTGCATAGTCCACCACAGGACCCCACTGCATATTAGCAAACTTCACATATCTTCAAAATATATTTTTAATTGCAATAATTTAGAAAATATGTAGGTTTCCTCAAGGTTTTCTTCACTGTTCAAAATGTAATAAGTTAGCAATTTAAATTATAATTAACAATGCCATTTGTGCCAACCCTGGAATTTGAACTCTGGTTACTCCAGTTTATTTATATACCAGTTTATATAAATTAACTTAAATATACTCCCACACAACAGTATCATATAAACATAACCAACATTGTTATTTAAATAGTAAATTTAATCAAACATACTTTTATAGAAAAACAGTAATGGCAATATACCATTTTATTGACTTCAATACAAATATAAAATCTTCAAGTGAATGAATCTGCATTAATTTTTAAATAAAAATATAAAAATTTAAACATTTCCATCGTCAACAGTGTGTGTAACTTCTAAATACTTTTTAAATAGATTAGGGTTACCATTTTTTATTTTAAACCAATTTGTAATGTTACTTAAATAGCCTTTGTATAATATCTAGAAGGCACCGAAAGCTTAGGAAAATCACAAAGGCTAAAATCAATTGAATCAAGAAGGAAGTGGTTGTAGGTAGGTGTACCTTATTTTGAAAGACTAGATTAACTTTTGACTAAGTTGTTCAAGGCTATTTACCAAGTTTGGCTCAATTGTTAATAATACATATTGATCAAGTAGAAATATAAGTTTTTCATTTATTTTCTATATATAATTTATCATTACATCCTATAATGAAGTAAGTAACCCCTTTCAATATTTATATACAAATTTTTCAGTCGATATTGCAAGATTTAATATTTTCCTAAAATTTAAATGTTTTCAAGATTGATGCTTACAATTATATAGGCTATGTTTCTCTATCTTTTGAAAATATTGAATATTGGTGTGCCAAAATGAATGTCTTCATTTTAAAATTTTGCCTTGAAAGTCTTATAAAAAAATCCTTACATTTTTAGCTCCAGATAGTTTCCATATACCATAACATAAACACGAAGTACCAGCTATAGCATATAAAGTACCCCATCCAAGTGCCCTCAATGCTAAAATTGCACCTGCATCCGCTAATTCTACACTACTATGTAAACCTGAAAAGATGATCTATGCAATGAAATAGAAGAAAACTGTTTAAGGGTTAAACATCAAAAATACAATGTTTTTACCTTTATTAAAATATTTGGGATCAGCTTTCTTAGCGGTTGTTAAAGTAGCTGTAAAGCCGGCTAGTGCTGAAATTCCAGCTATAGATGCTAAAAAAGCACCACCTGCAATAAATTATTTTATAACTAAATTGTTAACGTACTCATTTCCAATTGTAGTAAAATACTTAACTTTAATACGTAGCAGCCGCTCTTCGTCAGCCATGTTAACACTTAATTAAATTCAAAACAATTCATATATAATACTTAACCACAAATTAAGCATGTTTATTAAAGTTAAGTATAGTTCAATAAACAGTAATCACTAATCACCATAGATGTTCGACATTCGTAATTTCGTTAAAATCTGATCTCGATCGAGCCTCGAATCTCGATAGGTATCCTCGATCAAAATGACAGTTGACACTAGTAGTTGACACTAGTTTAGTGGTGGGCGATACATATCGTATCAGATATGAAAACTAGATATTAGTACAATATCCGAATATCGCGTACTGGCTCGTTCAATATCTATGTATTTTACAATATCTGATATTTCCGAAATCTGATGTAACGTGCTCGCTCGCTATACCGACACGAATCGCGATATCATACGCGTTTGCCACAATATCTGATTTTTAAACAGATTTCGAGAGACAAAGCGTGTGAGATACAAATACTCACTAGTTAGAGCGGGACGGCAAGCAATGCACGATATCAGATATCGAGAGACAAAGCGCGTGAGATACAAATACTCACTAGTTAGAGCGGGACGGCAAGCAATGCACGATATCAGATTTTTAAACAGATTTTGAGCGACAAAGCGCGTGAGATACAAATATTACACAAGTTAGAGCAGTACGGCAAGCAAGGCACAATATCAGATTTTTAAACAGATATTTTGAATAAGTTAAGTAATTTTGAATCTTAAAACTATGACAATAAGATCCGTTTCAATTAAATACTAATCATGGTATCAACGATTACTACAACGATATTATTAAGTATATTTTTATTGTTTTGTTTAGCCTTGAGCCGTAACGGGCGACAAAGCGCGCAGTTAAGTAATTTTGAATCTTAACAGCATGGAAAAAAAACATTTTTAGTTGCATTTAAATACGAATTACGGTATTAACGATGTCTTTAAATTTTGTTTAACCTTGAGCTGGATTGCATTGGTACCTAGCACGTAATAGTAAGGGATGCCAACTTACTACTTAAGAATTTTCTGCCTAAATTAAGGAAGAAAAATTTAAATGGAAATTTTTTAGGAGGTAAATTTTTTGTGAATATTTTTATTCGTTAAATTTTATTCATATTTTTGGAAAAAAAAAATAAAACTACACAAAAAGAAAAATATAATTTAATAGTGCTGTGCTGCTTGGGTGGAAATCAGACCAAGGCTTATGTGCTTTGTGTGTATATTTTACTCAACTCAATTATTTTAAGCGACGTATAAGATGTTGGAATAAATCATTTTTATATTACTTCAATTTCTATTTTTAATGAAATTTATTTTTTTATTATTATTATTATTATTATTTTTTTTTAGAATTCAAGGTGGATACGGGACCGTAAAATATCTAGATATTAAAATACATAGTTTCGAAATCTGATATTTGAAATCGAAATCTGATTCACATACGGTACTCAGAAAAAGCGATACGACCCATCTTTAATTGACACTGACCAGGGGGGTGACAGTGCCATACTTTGAGCTGGTAAAAATATTTTGTATGGAAAGTGGAGCTGTCTATTGTTCAGGGCGTTTTAACTTAGTCGCATAGAACCGCAAATCCTAACTAGATGTCGCTACTTTATCTTAGTGTCATGTTTCACCATTTTTTAATAAAATTAATGATAAATACACTGTATAAATACTTTCAAAAATACAAGTATATTTACCTACGAACAATTACGGTTATATAATTTTATAAGCACTCGTTTACAAAATTATATAATAATTTACTGTTCCAAGATTTAATAACTGCAACATTGTAACCACAGAGTACTTTTGTATATAGGGAAATTATTTTGATTGTAACACTGTTGTCAACCGTCGCCGTCGAAGTTTTTCAATTTTTTACTTTTATTGCGTATTATTTTACTGGTGCGTGCATTTTCTGTCTTGACTTTGATATTTACATTTCCCTTTTTTCCTAATGATTTGGCGTGTTTTCTAGATCTTGATAATACTACTTTTACTGTGAACTCTCTATTTACTACGGACACTGATTCATAACGATAAACCCCGGCTTCGTTTAGTGATTTAAATTGATACACGGAAAATCATTCTTATCGGGCATGTAAATATTTATTTGTAAATCTGGATATTATTCAAAAAAATCTGTAAAACTATTACTAGAAATTAATTTAGCATCATTAAAAATAAAAAGAAATATCTGCGGCGACTTTACAATGTTAAATCACATGATGAAAACTTTTGAAATGGGATAAAATCAAGGGCGGATCCAGGGGGGTGGGTCATGGGGGTCATGACACCCCCTGGGCTGGGTCCAGGACCTAGGTGGACCACTAATAAAAATTGTTAAACATAATATATTTATATTTTTTGCCACAATATTGATTTTATGTAAGTACCTTCAATAATAATTTAAATTAATATAATATTTTTAACCGACTTCAAAAGGAGGAGTTTCTCAATTCGATTGTTATATATTTTTTCGATGTATGTACACCGATTACGTTGAGATTTATGATCCGATTTACGTGATTCTTCTTTAGTTTGGTGTAGAATAGTTGCCATTTTGTCCCATAAAAAATTCCCATAGTTTGGATAAGTAGTTTTCATTTTATGAACATTTTTACAAAATTTTAATGTTTGTCATCAAATCTTGCAAATTAAATTTGATCTACTTCCCGGTTACCGGTTGAGCTGAAATTTTGTATACATGTGTAAATCGCGAGAAAATGCAATATTTTTATGACATGGTGCTGATCTGATGATGGAGCTGGAAGTTGGCAAAAGGAACTTCGCAATGAAACCACAGAGCCTCATCGCGTTCGGGTACATTTGAATCGTATTGACGAGTAGTTTGTCTTTCACTTAGATAAATAAATAAATAAACAAATAAATAAATAAATTAATTTCATAGGTAACCAGGATCTTATGATGGAGCTCCATCTTCAGCCGTCCATGGACATATGCACAGGGTTGCAGATGCGTTTTCTCCTTACAATAAAGTGTGCTCCGGCTACCTCACTCACCAGACAAAACGCAGAATTACTTTACGCCGATCTTCTGTGAGGTTCCTATGATCACTCTGTAATGAAACGACTGAACCCCCTCGAGTTTCGGCTCGTTTGATTCGTCTTGGCGAGTACTTAATTTTTAGATGTTATCAGGGTCTGATCTGATGATGGAGCTGGAAGATAGTCAGTAAACAAACGACGAAACCCTATTCTGTCTAGGCTCGTTTGATTCATGACGAGTTCTTTAGTGCTAGATGGTAACCAGGGTCTAATGACAGAGCTGGAATGTGGCCATAGGAACTAAGTAATTAAGGAACACAACTGCGTCGAGTTTGATTCGTCTTAATGGCTGGACCGTTTTTGACGGGTGGTGAGAGGTGGTGGTTTAGTGGACGTGAGTATGCGACCCCATCTATGGGAAGTAAAGTTTGTTCGTTCCTGTTTGTTATGAATGTGGATTCTGTCTGTGATTAGATGGACGAACGCTGAATAGTATGAATGAATGAATGAATGACTGAATAAATTTTTTTTGTTATTTATGAGCATTTTTTTAACGTGGACGATGAAATTTTTAGTGTACGGCTATTTTAGGAGTTTTCGTTTGGGTTGATTATATATTATTATTAACCCGTGTCCCGATAGTCCCGTCTTAGGCTACTTGTCATTAAAGTGGAGCCAGCGTGCGGAGTAGAGGAATTGAAAAATATTATAACCAATACGACTACATAAAATCTGGTAACGAAGAAATAAATAAAAAGAAATTTCAAAAATAAGTAAGCCTACCAATAGCTACTTAAAAAAATGCTTTACAGGGAGGCTTTTCTAAGTGTATCCATTTTTTTTAATTAAATTCTAGACATAAATAAAGTTATAATAAAAAATGATAAATATTTAAAATGGGTAGGGCCACGCATGTGCTCATGCGTGCGTTTAACTATGGTGTGTCATCTAAGGGCCGTCGAGGTCGCGGTTCGGACCGAAACCCCGATGGCCGTCGACTGTGCAATTAGCTAATCGGTGGCTGGGAGCGGTGAGAACCGCTCCGGAACGCGGGTGTACCTTGTGTACGCGTTGTGTTGGTCTCGCCGTGCTCGGAGGCGAGGGCGAACTAGTGTGTTTGTTGTTGCACTAACTGTGGGTGAAGTGTTTTCCGGCGGGACCCCTGGCGGTGGGTCCCACGTATCTAAGTCCCCTTCCTCGACCGGGTCGATGAGGACGTTTCGCGGGTGACGCTTGTTGACGTTCGCGTTTGTGTCGGGTTGGTAATTTGCTGCGCTTACCACCAGAGGGTCGGGATGATGTTCGGCTCTATCGAAGAACCGTTTGGTTAGGTCTTTAAAATATTCGCGAATTGTCGGGAGTCTGCAATCGCTGTGCAGGTCGACGTTGCGTTGATACCACTGCGCACCGGTTGCGCGGCGGATGAACTTATTTTGTACTATTTGCAACTTGTACAAGCGAGTAGGGTGCGTGTGGGCGAAGGTCATGCATGCGTAAGACATAAATAGGTCGTACGCAGGTCTTATATAATAATAATTTGTGCCTTAAGGGCTTTTTACTTTTAGCGTTGGTTAAATTGTGTAGCCGGCCGGAGACGGATGCGGCTCTATTGCGAACGTTATTAATGTGCGTAGTAAATGACATACGCGAGTCGAACTCCTACGCATTTGACCTTTTTCTCCCAGGGGAGCGGTTGGTCATAAATGGATATTTGCCCCAACTTTCTGCATTGACGAGGGCCATTATAAAGATGTGACGGGTAAGTACTTCGTGTGAAGTGAATCGCCACACTCTTTTCGGGATTTATTTCTATTCTCCATTTGCGGAACCAATCGCTGAGGCGGTCGGCAGCGCTTTGGAGTCGAGTGGTTAGTTGTCCAAGGTTGCGGTCTGAATAAAAGAGCGCCGTGTCATCCGCGAAAAGCGCGGGATTGACGTGGGGGTCTTTAGGTATATCGCTCGTGTAGAGCGTAAAGAGCAAAGGTGAGAGGCAGGAGCCTTGTGGTACGCCGGCCGTGAGGCGGCGGCTTGTGAAGAGGGTGCTTTCAACTCGATATCGAAAAGAGCGGTTCGACAGGAAGGCCCGGATGGTGTGTACGAGCCTATCTGGCACTTTGAGTGTGTACAGCTTGTAAAGCAAGCCGTTGTGCCAGACCTTGTCGAATGCTTTTGCGACATCGAAGAAAAGAGCCCCTGTACTAATATGTTTCGTGTGATTTAGGCCTTTTAGGATATGTTCCTTTAGGCGGAATAGTTGATCGGGACAGGAATGTCTAGCTCGAAAGCCGAATTGTTCCGCCGGCAGAAGGCCGTTGGAAAACACGTGCTCATTGAGCCTGTTTAATAAAAGCCGCTCGTAGAGTTTCCCCAGGCAACTGAGGAGGCTGATGGGACGATAACTAGAGGGCTGGCTGGCTGGTTTATTCGGCTTGCGAATGCCGATAACCGTGGCTTCTTTCCAGTCGTCCGGAAAGGAGCAAACTGAGAGTAAAGTATTGTAAATGGTCGCCAGTAAACAGATAAGCGGCCCAGGGAGAGCTTTAAGAATTTTGTTACTAAGATTATCCTGGATTAGGTGGGCTGTATCGATGTGTTCGCGCGATGGCGTACATTGCTGCTCTAGGTTGTCCGCAAGGCATTCGGCTTTTTCGGAGTCATCTAGGGCTACTGAAGCGCTATTAGGTCGAACTAACGGCGGTAGAGATTCGCGGGGGCCTGCTTTCAGACTGCGGGCCAACCGCCAGTAGGCGGTGTGCGATGGCTCGATGTCCTCTAGGAGTGTCCCACGTTGTATGTCGGTGTTCCGATACACAATCTTTGACTTCTAGCTGAAAGCGTCGAAGTAGGGTTCGGTTCGATTCCGATCGGTATCGGTCGAAAGCGCATTTGGCTGCATTTTTCTGCCTAAATAGCAGTCGCAGGTCGGGCGGAAAGTTAAACCATCGGTCGCCCGACAGTTTAACCGTCCGTTCCGAGTCTGCGACTGTGGAAATGATGGTTTCTCGGAGACTTGCTATCGCTCGATTTGCGTCATCGAACGTAGCTATCGTATCGGGTAGGTCGACTAAGTCCTGGGGGTCCAAGGCCCTGAGTTTGACCTCAAGACGATGCCAGTCCACTACGGATTTGGTCGGAGGGACCGCGCCGGCGTTCTGGCCCAGTTTACACAGGACGGGCCTGTGATCTGAATCTGATCTAGTTCATGGATTGTCTTTATCGACTCGATGTCGAGCGAGACCTCCTTGAATAACATGATATCTAGGATACTCGGTGTCGTGTGTTGGTAGTTGTCCACCTAGTGGGAGTCGCAGGAGCAATTATGCCAAAGTTTAAATTATCGGATAAGCTAAAGAGATGCTTTCCGTTGTTATTTGGGATGCTGTGGATGTCCCATGAGCCATGTTTGCAGTTTAGATCTCCTGCAATCATCACGGAAGGGCCTAAGTTGAGTAGCGTATCTAGGTCGCTTTGTAATAAGGTTTTGTTCCCCGAGAGGTAGGCTGAGACTAGTACAAGCGGCCTATGGCCGGTGAGCGCTAACCTACACGCGGATGCCTCTATATGGCTTAGCTCAGGAATGTCGAGCGGGCTACAGTGCAAGGACCGTTTGTAATAAATTAAGGTGCCTCCCAGACGATTTGCTAACAGGTCGTGACGGACTATGTTGAAGTTTGCGATTCTGGGATCGCGAACACTAGGTTCACTAAGGTCTCTTGCACTAGAAAAATATCTACATTATAATCGTTGACCCTTAATGCCGTTTGCGTTCTCTATTCTCTACGGCTCGGTGGGGATGCACTACAGATGCCGTATGAATTAAGTAGTAAACAAACGTTTTATTATCTATACCTACTAATATTATAAAGAGGAAAAATTTAATTTATGTTTTTATTAAAGTATGCATTGAATAGGCTCGAAACTACTGAACCGATTTGAAAAATTCTTTCACTGTTGGGAAGCTATATTATCCCGGGATGTTACAGGCTATATTATATTTTCAAAAAACTAGGAATCCTTATTAAAAAATCAATAATGCGAAACCATCAAAAATGCGTCGTAATGAGGAATATTTACAGGAAACTGAAAATCGTCTTACAAGTCTGAAGCCCGGTTTCTGAAACACTGATCATCGTAGATGTCAACTAATTAGCCGTCAAATGGCTTTTCAAATTTCATTTTAGTTGCCAAAAGGACCGTTAAACTCTCTGAATTGACCAGAATGATCTTCTAATGATCAATCCAAAGAGTTTAACCATCCTTTTGGCAACTAAAATGAAATTTGAAAACCATTTGACAGCTGATTAGTTAACATCTACGATGATCAGTGTTCCAGAAACCGGCCGTTAGATAGTCAAGTAGTGTTTACAGCGGCTTGAACAAAATAATCTATACAGATAAATAAAATTGGAGTGTCTGTTTGTAATATTAAATAACCGCTTCTTACTAAAGGCATAATGGATGTATACACGGTACATATACCAAAATTTTTTTTTACAATTTTTGTCTGTGTATTACGGCTAATATCTGAAACGGCTGGACCGATTTGGACGGGACTTTCACTGGCAGATAGCGACGTTTTTAGCAGATAGCTTTTTTTATTTTAAATTCCACGCGGACGATGTCGCGGGCACAGCTAGTCTAATATATAATATTCTCGTGTCACGGTGTTTGTAATTGAACTCCTCGGCTCGGCCGATTTTCGTAAAATTCATTCTGTTTTAATTCATTGCATTATTACAGCGACTTATTAGGGTGCCATACCTCCTCCAGACTCTGCTGCCTGTCCATATTTCACCAGGCTGTATCTCATGAGCCATACATAAAACAGTTAGACAGTTGAAATTTTACAAACGATGTATTTTTGTTACTATAACAACAAATAAAATATAAACCAAAAAAATATATATAAGTGGGGCTCCCATAAAACAGACATGTTTTTTTTTTTTTTTTGCAGTTTTATAGATAATGTTGACAGTAGTAGTGTTTTTTGACAAATTGTTTCGAGTGAAAATTTCAACTGTCTAATCACAGTTCATGAGATACAAGCCTGATGACAGATGAACAGACAGAGAGCAATCTTATTATAAATTTAGGGTACCGTTTTACCCTTTGGGAACAAAACCCTAAAAAGGGTTTGTACATAAACAGCACTTGTAGTCTTTCAAATTTCGACCAGTCAAATTGTTTAGACCATAAATAATGAATGTTTAATGAAACCATTTTTGTCAGATTTAATGTTGAATATAAAATGTCCACAAGTACATGAAACATACATTTATGAAATAGTTCCAATCTACTAAAGCAATGTGAGTCGAAATAAAGACATGTATAGCTATTAAAGTAGACACAGCCATCATATTATCTTTATAAATATAAAGAGCTATAAAATGTTTAGCAGTTTTGGATGTATCACTAGTTAATAGATTATTAATTCATTCATTTAAGTTTATTTTCTTGTTTTGGAGCTTATATATAAATAACTTAACAAAATAACTGACAAAAAGAAAAGTCACATAGCTAATTTAACTTACTATTGTTTTGTTTTAATGGAAGCTAATATAATACAATTAAAATTTTAACCTTTACATCATCCTTATAAAACAGATACAGTATTAAATACATATTGTAAATAGCATTAACTAATATTTACAAGTCCCTGAAACAACTATACACTTTATTAAATTATTAATAATTTAATATAAGGGATAAATGGACAGGCAACAGTTTCAACATTCATTCCGTTTGAACTTCTTATTTGATTCATTCACTACATCTTCAAGTTTATTTATCCGTCTAGCTTTGAGAAATATATTACTGTCACTGTCACTAGCATTCTGACGAATGCAGTTCACACTGGATACATTCTGATTATGTACACCATACTTTTTATCACCAAGAGTTTTATTTTTATTAACAATGTAAGTGTTATTTATGTCTTTAACCAAATCACTTTGTGACTTAATAGGAATAAGAATTTCATTTTCACCTTTCTTAAAATATTCTTGTTTAATTGGTACCACCAATCTATTTTCAGAATCACTTGATAGCCTTGTAGCTTTTCTTAAATGGATTGTTTCAGAGGAATCTGAGAAGTTGCGTTTCACTAATAGTTCACCAGTAGGCATCTGTTTGACGATTGTGACCATTGGTTGCTCAGGACCTTTACCATCTATTTTCGTCAGTTTACTGGAATTTCCTTTATCACCTTCTGTTTCATCTTGCTGCTCCTCAGGCTCTATTAATTTACCTGCAACCAAAATAGCAGTACATTATTTATTGCAAATTAAAATTATTGACTATACTTATTACTTGCACAAAAATGTGATAACTACCATTTAATGTTGGGAATGTGATGTCAGGTAAATTCAAATGTGAGTCTGGATTAAATTTGTGCATTAAAGATTTTAATAGGTTAGAAATTTCCTCTCGTTTACGTGTAACAACAATTTCATCAAACCAGTTAGCCAGCTGCTTTATTGGTAATGAGTAATCTAGAATGGGATCCTGTAAATTAAATACATGATTAAGAAATACAATAGCATAGATTAAACAAAGAATTTTGGTATTATAAATAAAATATTTTCATACCTTAAAAAATTGTTCTACATATTGCAGCAAGTATAAACCACAATCTGTAAAATTATTTTGTTGAGGTATTTTTGGGCAGCTTCCTTTGATATTGTCTTTATTAAATATTTTATTCTTACATATCTGTAAATTATAACTATATTTATTAAACATATTCAAACTGCATAAGACATTTTTAGATATTATTAACCTACTTTTGCTTGATATTCACATGTGAGGTAGTCACGCAGAGTAGCAACAACTCTTGATCTTGAGGCACCAGCCAATGAGTCAAATATTAATATACACGGTCTGAAAAATTTGATTGTGTGTCAGAATTATACAATTCATAGTCAAATTTAAGATAATAAAAAGCTAACTCACTGCTTTATAGGTTCATTTTTGGCTAAAGGTAAGAGTTCATTTTTTTTGTCATTTTTCTCTGCTTCATCTTCATCCGTATCACATTGCATGTCTAAATCACTTTCCTAAAATATGTTCATAATATATAAGTAATATGAATTATTTATAACTTAAAAAAGATTTTAGTTCCAAGGCATAAAAATCACTTCAAGAACTTTTAAATTCCAGCTTTAGGTCATATAATGTAATATTTAAGACTGACTTTTGCCAATGAAATATTGTAAAACAACTTAGTTCTTAACTGATGACTGCATGAAGCCAAAGTATTATTACTTTGAACTTATATTTAAATATCTGCAGTTACCTCTGCTTCGGCTTCATCTCGCTCACTAAGATTGTCTGAGTCACAATTTAATGTTAGCTGTTCTTGCTTTGTAAGAGGTGTAATTGTAGTATTGCCTATTTGAATAGAAGACCGTCGTTCTGAAATTAATATTAGGTTAGTACTGCTTCCAATGGTAGAAAATGTTTTTACACTGTGTGAACTGGCTCTTGGTTTTCTCATATTCATTTAATTATTAGAATTAGCAAGAAGTTGATATTAAAATGTGGTAAAGAGTGTTAAACTTTCTTCCTTGGCCTCAGCTGAAGTACATCAAGAAGTAATCCCATTCATGAATATAAATTACCTAATATTCATCCTTTAAATTTTTCATGATAACATTGAAACAAATTAATGATACTATACTCATCTATGGATTTTATCGTGTTTTAATTTTGATTTTTCCCAAAGTTTCGAGCCCTTTCCAGCATTCATGGTCACACGGGACAGACGGGACAGAGTTCGAAAAGTCGGGAATTAGAAAAGGAGTGAAATAAAACATACTACCTTTTTTTTTAATTTTCTGAGGTGTCACAGCTCTATTGTCAATCATACTTTTACAACCCTCTAAACTGGGATAACAAATAATAGCCACAAACCAATGACAATTTTCATTTATAGGAGTACTACAATAAAGTCTTTTTCAAAAATGTTAACATTTTTTGTCCATGTTTTTACTCGGGCATGGCGCTTTTGTGCTGGAGTCAAGCTGCTGTCCCATTCATGGGGATTAGAACTTTTGTTTACTTTACTTGGTTTGGTAGTTAACCTTTTATAAAAGAATGTGCTAAAAATATGAGTCTTTTCTCTCTGACCATGTGTTAATATATCATGGACCAAGTGTTTTAAATAAAAATCTATAATAACATCATTCAAAAATTGATCCTGAGCTAGGCACATGTAGTCTTCTGTATTAATTGGTATACCTCCCTTACCAGGTGGATAAATTAAAATCTGCCTTATTTCTGCAGCATTAGAGCTGAAATTCAATACAATTAATAATTAATAAATTATTTTACATGATCTTCATTAAAGTAAGTCATCATTTACTTGAGAAATTACCTTTTATTTCCAGTAGCACTGGAAGCACTTATAGATCTAGTTGCTAATTTTGCAACACTACCACTATCTTTAGGACATGTCCTAACTAAAATATCATTAGCTTCGCGGGCATTTAGTTCATCCATTACCTTACCAAATAAAGCTTTTAAGGCAATTTTTGCTTCATCTGTAATGCACTCTGGCAACAATGTTATCCTTTTAAAAGGATCTATAACTGACATAGGATTGTAGTATGGGCCTGTAACAGATGACATACTGTAAAATCAGAAATATGCTCCAATATTAATATTAAAAGTCAAATTGCAATTTCAAATAATCAGAGGTTAGATCAAACTATGACAGAGTATTAATTGGCATATTTTGTTCTAAAATTTATGCTAATTATAAAAGTCATATGCTATCTTTTATATCGCAAAAGATACCCATAACTAATATTCATGTATGGCTGTAGAAGAGGCAAGGATGTAACATGGATGAACACAAATGGTCACCCATCCATGGGGGTAACAAGGCCTCACAGAAGATGGATGTAAGTGGAAGTGTTATTGTTTGGTCTTTCATCAGGTGAGTGTGTTACACAATTACACATCCTGGAAATCGTCTACACTGCAACCACCCAGCTACGACATTCCATTCTCATGAGATTGCTTATTCCATGCTACGTGCCCTCGCCCGTAATCCCACGGATACGAAGTGGTTGCGCAACGCAGGTGTTGGACACCGGGACCGTCGGAAACATCGCAGCGAGTGTCACTTTTGTCTCTAACATCAAGCAATTGTCACCTCCCTTAGAAATGTAGTTAACTTGTAACTTTTATATAATAAAATAAGTAGTTTTAAGTTTAACTTTGCATTTTTTTGCATCCTCCGGCCGCAGCCTTCGTAATTAGTGCATAAACAGCCCACTCTTTTCAAATTTGGTAAATTATCTATTACACCAAACAAGTATTGATGTCCATAGCCGGCTGTAATTACTTAACATCCGATGAATCATCTGTTTGACAGTGAAATTTTCATATAAAAATAAAAAGAAATTTCTGCCTACCCCACTGTGGGAGGTGTATGTGTTACAGGTATAGGCAGGTGGAAAAGATAATCCAAGATGTTATTGGAGAATACTCACCAGATTCCTCTGTCATATCTAACGCTTTTCTTATATAAACTCCACATTTGCTCATTGTATACAAAAAAATAACTGGTAGTCCTTTTCCAAAATGGACTAATATTCTGACAACCTCTTTCAATTGTATTTGCAATGCTACTTCTCTAGATTCATTTTTAAGGGAGGGTGCAACAATTTTAATACCTTTACATGATATGTATACCTGGAATCGATAAGTTTGCAATTTAGCAAGTATTATCAGCAAAATTAAAAATAAAAGCTATAATGTTTTGAATTTTGGTTCAAATACAAAATTGTATATTCACTTACCTTTTCTTTGGGTGTGTATCTATATGATCCAATTCTAATAGTACGGCAGTTAAGTGAAGTAATAATTCCTTGTAAATTGTTTGGATTAATTTCTTCTCGACTTCCATCTAAAATTAAATATGTGTAAAATGTTAACAAAATCCTCTTTATGCATGACAGTAATAAATAAGTAACATGGAACAAATATTTCTTAATCAACACCAATTTAAAATTATTTAAATAGGTGCATATCGTTGTCGAATCCTTGTGCTTCGGGGAATAATAATATACATTAGAGAGATGTTTCACAATTATATTAAATGATGATTAATTTTAACATTTTGAAAGAACGACTTCAACATAACTAATATACTACTAACTATAGCCTAACACAGAAGTTGAAGTTCATTCTAAAATGTTGATGAATATTAAATAACTATTTTTTACGTGTACGTTTATTATATAAATAATTTATTAAACAACCTTTAAAAAATCTCAATAAACAAAATTATTCAAAAGACTTAATGCGGCACAATATTCGAGATCTTTAGAGGAAAAAATGTTCATAACCTTTAAATACATAAATTAATAAAAAAATATTCTAAACAAAACCTTTCTCAAATTTAAAAGTACCTTTTTGGCTTTCAGAACTGCAACTTTCAAACATATTTGTACTAAAAATTTTCATGAATGCGTTACAATGGCAGTAGCTTACTACCGAGTATCAATATCGAACTGTGGTACAGATAACATAACATATGCACAGTAACTACAGCAGCATGGCCAAAAAATATAGTATATAAAAATATCGATATTTTTCCATACAATTATTGACACAAACCGTCGATATTATTTCAGACTATCGAATTTGTGTAAATTTCGATGTAATTTTTTAACAACTTTGGTTTCATGTTTAATGTTACTAGAATCTAAATACTCCTTGTATGCTCCTCGTGCATTGTTAACTTTAAAAACTCTTCAACAATTTACTTCATGTCTATTCTATTTTTAATAATTATTTTGAATGGTTTGAAAATATTTATGTGAAAAATGACGATATATCGATTTCGTTCGATAATTGTCGATACGTTTTTAAAATATCGACACGCATGAAAACGCTCGGAAAATTAGCTATCACAGCAAACCATTATAATAGGTTGGGGAAAATTTCTTCCATTTCATATAAAAATTCAAAACAGTTTTTTAGTGTTATAAAGTTTATTTACATTTAACTAAAGTATGTTGATGCCATTTTGTTCGATAACTTTCTGCCATCTTGTAGGTGACATGATCCACATGGACATGATCCCATTTCTATAGAAATTCTGGGGCTTCAGATCAAAAAACCGCGAAAAGTGATTTTGGCAGTCCTCTCGTGATGTTAACCTGACGCCTAAAGAATTCTGAAGAGGCCGGAACAAGTGGAAATCTGAAGGTGCAAGGTCAGGACTATACGGCGGATGCAATAACACCTCCCAGCCAATCTCTCTTAATTTTTGCTGAATGGCTAAAGATCTGTGAGCTCTAGTGTTATCACGATGAAAAACCACACACCTTCTGTTGATTAATTTCGGCCGCTTTCCCTCAACTTCTTGCTTTAATCTCATCAGTTGTTCGCAGTATAGTTCAGAATCAACAGTCCGGCCTGGTAGTAACAGCTCATAATGAATAATGCCTTTCCAATTCAACCATACACACAGCATTATCTTGTTGCGAGTTAACCCGGGTTTTGCCAGAGTCTATGAAGCCTGACCAGACTTTGACCACGAACTTTTTCGCACGTTCTTGTCGTACGTGATCCACTTTTCATCACCAGTTATCAGTATCAGGTTTTTCAAAAATGGTTCGGTTTCATTACGTCGTAATAAAGAATCACAAATAGGTTACACGTTCAATAACAGAGTACACGGTTCATTAGGTTTCTTTCAGTGAGTTCATGAGGCACCCAAATATCGAGATTTTTTCTGTACACAGCTTTTTTCAAATGCGCCAAAACTGTTTTGTGGTCAATTACCAGTTCTTCAGTTACATCGAAACTCCTGATATGCCGATCTTGCTCCACTTTATCAAAAATGGCATGCATTTTATCCGTAACAGGGCGCCCAGAGCGAGGTTCATCTTTGACATTAAAATTTCTGGATTGAAAACGCTTAAACCAAATTTGTGCTACTCTCACAAACACTGCACTAGATCATAAATATCACAAATTTTTTTCGCGGCTTACTTTGCATTTTTACGTTTTTAGTAGTAAAATTTTAAAATGTATCTGTTGTAGTATTATAATTAAATGATTAGGTTCACCAATGAAATTGCCGTTCTTCAGTACTGGCCATTTCAAATATAAAAAGTTTTGATTTTTTTATGCGAAAAGTTGTCAAACGAGCAGACGGTTCACCTGATGGTAAGTGAATACCGCCGCCCATGGACATCTGTTACACCCGAGGGTTACAGATGCGTTGATAACCTTTTGAAAATTGGGCTCCGGCTACCTCACTCACCAGACGAAACGCGAAATTATTTGTCATACTTCCACTTTACGCTGGTCTTCTGTGATGTCGTGGTACTTACCCGGACGGGCCTGCCCATTCGTGCAACAGCCGAGGTTGCTGCGTGGCCCTACCACCGTAAAAATTATTATTGGCTGTGAATTCTCAAATTCAAATTATTTGTTTTTTAAAAACATGAAATTCTTTTTAAAATGTCAGTTTTTGTTTATTGATTTTCATTTTCATTACATTGGAACATTTTTCGTCATAATGGATACTTTAAAAATTCGTATAATTATGAAATAAGAGTTCCGTCGTGACACCAACGCGGCACCAATGCCACGTTACATCAAAAACGTTTACGGAGAGAACTTTACAAACGAACGCAAAACCCGTTATTGGTTTGTCCGGTTCCGTTCTGGAAATTTTGTCTTGAAAAACGAACCTCGTAGTCGTCCGGACATTTTGGTCAACAATGATGAATTAAAGGCGATTGTGGAAGCTGATGATAGTCCGAGCTAGCAGCAGCTTTTGATGTTAGCATCAAAACAATATTGGTCCATATGCTAAAAATTGGTAAAATAAAAAAGCTTGATATACGAGTGCCCCACCGTTTTGTGACATGGATATTATGAAAAATGGAATCTGTTCGACAATCGAAAGAAAGTTGGTTAGATCCTGGTTCAGCACCGAAGCAATGCCCTAAACGAAAAATGTCACTGTTTGGTGGTTTGGTGGTTTGGTGGCGTTGGTGTGATTCGTCACAGCTTTTTACAAAACGGCATGAGCATCACTGCGGATGGGTACTGTAAAGAACTGAAGACAATGATGGAGAATCTCGCACATCTACAATCAGCTTTGGTCAATCTGTCATCCCCGCAGCTCCTTCACGACAACGCGCGACCGAGTTGGGGTTGGAAGTTCTCCCTCATCCGCCATACTCATTACCCAGACTATTACTTTTTCCAAAATTGGACAACTTTTTAGTGGGAAAATAATTCAATTCCCGAGTGGCAGTACAAAATGCCTCTGAAAATGCTTTTGTTGCCGGACGGGGCCAGTTGATTTTTACAAGATGGGCATCAATAAAATACTGGGTGATTACTTTCATCATCATCATCATTTCAGCCTGTTGGAGTCCACTGCTAAACATAGGCCTACTTTGATTGCATTGATTACTTTGAATAACAGAAATAAAAGTTTTAAAAAAACTAACTTGTTTCATACAGAACGGCAATTTCATAGGTAAAGACCGAATATATATTTATATATATATATATTTATTAAAAAAAATATTATGTTATTGAGTTACTTACAGACTTATGGGATTTTCCTAAAATAGCATCCGTTATTCTGTTTTTAGCACTAAACGTTTACATTATTCATTAAATTGGATATTTGTATTTGTATTTTTACTGCCGGCGAAAAATTTGAGACCGCTTGTAAAAATCTTTGTACCCTATAAAATATTTCAAATGTACATATGTTAATGTACATATGATAATTTAAAGACCTGCGTATTCTATAAATTGAGAATTTTTGAACATTTTTAAGTTATCGTCCGCTAAAGGTCTATCGTTTCAAAACATCAACGAGTTCCGCGCTACTTGCTAGGTGATGGTCATTGTAATATGTTCATGACATGCTCAATACCATTTATTTTGGTTTTGTTTCACGTTAAGGCGCTGTATGCAGTGAATTTTTAATTATTTGGGTGGTGAATGAGGAAGCGGAGGAGGGACGCCGCTTAGCAGCGCGCAGCGCGCGGGTTTCGTCAACGCGCCGCTAGACCAAGTCATTCATTACCTAGTGTGTGTGTAGTGATGGACCGTAGGATACTATCGATAGACTCATGGAAGGCTTTCGAAAATGTACACAAATGATCCCTATAATATATTTATAGACCATGAATGTATTTTAATTTTATATTAATAACAGAATAATAATAAACAAACAAATATACAGTATGAGAAAGCAATGAACCATTTTAGAAAATCTTCTTCCTGTTTATTATTATTTTTTTAATTAAATTGATTAAAAATACATCTTAAAGTCAAATAAATTAATAAAGGCAGATTACTTATAACTATTATTTTTTGTTTTTATGGTTTATATTGTGATTTTAAAGAAATGGCTCATAAAATTTTTGCAGAAATGACGAATACAACTTTTTTTATTACATTTTTTTTATATATTAGGAATTTTAATTTATTCTTTAAATGTTCATGACTTACTATGTTGTATTACTTTTTCAACTAAAATGAAATTTAAAAAACTATCGATAAAATCCTTATTTGTATCGATAAACGTCAGCAATTATAACTAGAATCGAAATTTTGTCACTTTGCACAGACCTCGCCTAGCCTGTTGGTCCGAGCGTCATACACAAAGGTAAACTATTGCTGTAGTCCCAAGTTCAAACCACTCATTGAGTGGAGTTGTATTTTTCATATTATTTTCACTTTTAATTTGTTAGCCAACTAATTATTTTGTTTTTATTTTATAAAATGGCTCAATTTGGGAAATAAACAAATTATAAAATAATTATTTTTCGTGTATAAGATAAATTTTCGTTTTAGGGTGAACAATTAAATAAATTAATAAAAAAATAGATGACGTTTTCAAAATTTTAATACTAAAAGTTGCTTTATTTACTGATAGATTGTTCTCAAACTGTTTCAACTTTGAACAAATACAATAATATTTCGTTGTAATTATTTATGAAAATAAAAAAATCAACAATAATTAAATGGTAATTAAGAAATACTTCCAAATAAGAAAATCAACAATAAGTATGTATAGGACTGATAGAACAATCAATCACGAGATAAGACATTGAAATTATGCTTTAAATAAATTAATTAACAACTGTTAATACATACAAATAATTTATAAATACGAAATATGTGAATATATATTTTTTAGTTTCGTGTTTTCGAAGGTCTAATAAAATTAGAACTCTCAATAATAAATAAATACCAAACATATTTCGTAACGGTGAGCGGGCGATGAGCAGCATAAGTCCGTCTAGCAAGGCGCCTCAGCGCTCTCTGTTCAACGTGTGGAGTTAGAAGAGAACCGAAACAACGCCGCGGTGGCGCGGTGTTGTGGCCATCGCGTTTGAATTAATTTTAACGAATTAAATTAATATTTACAAATATCTTACTTCAATCAACAAATTAAGACAACAGTCCTTTTTATTAATATATTCTACGCCACTGATATTAATTTCATTAGGATTTGTTCATTTATTATATCTATTTTTTTATTTGAATTTCACGTTTAAAGTAGGTTCGTGATTTTTTTCTATCGAGAAAATATATCGACAATATGTTTTGAAAACAATGGTCCATTAGAATGTAAGATCAAAATTAACATATATTTTTTTGCTTCTATAAAATGTATAGATTTTGTTAAAAATTTTTTTGAAAACCCTATTTTTACTGCATACAGCGCCTTAACCCAAATTCGGGATTATTATACCTTCCTCAAACATATTTATTACCTGAGTTTTCATCGAGGTAATCTTTTTTTATCTTAGTTAGTCTAACCTTGTCGTTGTTACGATGAAGGCATTTTAAAATGAGAAAACTGCGCAAGGTTAGCGGCGAAACTCGTTCTGCCATTGCCTCTCAACTTATATTGAAGAAGACTTGTGTTCATAACACAATAACCCGATACAAGGAAAACGGTATTATTCAAGATCGTTCGCGACGGGAAAAGCCATTTCTAACAAAGATAAAATAACCGTCCTTACCAACAAGCGGAATAGACCCCTAAGCACCAAAATTTCGAGCAGTTCGAATCCATGGGCGAATCGCACCAACGAACCCCGGCATTGAATGGGGAAGCCAATAGCTTAGCAACTGCGCTATTACCATTACTGATATAAAATTTTAAATCGTTTTCTATACAGCATGGCGTTACAATCGCGACAGTAAAAGAACACGTTTCTAAAGCTACTTGCCAATAATCAACAAAAAATACAAACATTGAAAAAAATCCATAATTAAAAATAAAATTTTTCAAACAAAGTAATTAAATAATTAAAAAAAACAAAATTTGTAACACCCTATACAACTACAACTGACTGATTCATACATTTAGTCTTTTTCATTCGTTGCCACATCGTCGCATTACAAGTCTCTCCTTCTAATAGTATGTTTTATCTCTGTTAAATTTATTCAAACAATTCATATGGTTTGTGACCTTTACAGATCAACTTTACGTTACAGTTTTATACGTAAGGTTGTTCTAAAATTATTTGTTTATGAAAATTTAAGAACTCGTTAAATATTGATTAAATATCAAGTATAAGAAAGTAAATATTTAATACAATTTAAAAAAGATATCCTTTATATGTGTGTTGATTAATGGTCGCGTTAGTAGCGCCACGTTGTATATAGTGCTACAAAAGAGACAAAATATGTTCAAGGGCCAAAATAAGTTACATATTACAAAATAACATTTTTAAATAACATTTGAAAGTGTTAATGTTATCAAGTAAATCTATAATGAGAATTGTCTTCTTAATGAGAACATGATTCTTTGAGAAGAGAATTTTCTTCTATCTGACATAACACTTACAAAAAAATATATACCCAAAAAAATTATAATAAATTACTTACCATCCATCTGGTCCATGCCAATACCGCTGTCTGGGGTCCCACCTTCAATCTCACTTAGAGATGGTTCTTTTACATTTATAGTCTGTTCATGCTAGAAAATTTAAGCATTTTATAGAATTTAAGTAATTTGTGTTATATATACATATGTAGTGGTAGGGTCATTTAACAGCCTTTGCTGTTGCAGGCATTCAGGCAGTCTTAGTTAGGAATATCCACTCTCACCATGGCCCTTCAGAAAGTGCCATGAAGTGAGGCAGGTCGCAACCCCATTGGTTCGCCAAATGTCAATGGCATTGCTTGCCAGATACTAACATAAAAAGTACAATTAGAAAAAAATCACTCATAAAAAGAAATCTCCAAGGTTGTTCGGTGTCATGATACAAATATATAATCTACATCATAAAAATAAATTTTGTGGAGGAGTCAAACCAAAAAGTACACCAAAAGCTCCACTCTGCAGCTGTATCAACCAATAATAATAATATTGGTGTAGAAAATGCCAATTGTAGACTAGGCACTTACTTTTACAATGTTTTTCGTTTTCTTATTAAAATTAATTGAAAACTTAAATAAATTATGAACACAGCTAAAACATAATCGTGAGTGATACAAATCTTAAAAAGATGATCTGAATAATGCTTTGAATGCTCTGAAAATGTAAATTAATTCCACATTTAATATTTAAAGTTTTTTTTGTTTTAAAATTCATAAACATGGTCATGGAAAATCTTACCTGATTACTTAGCATAGAGCTGTTTGAGTCTTCTTCATCAGAACTCAAAGTCAATATGACAGGCTCTGGGTCAGGTTGCTTTCCCCTCGGTTTTCTTACTCTTGCTGGTTTCTTATCCTATTTAAATTATAAGGAAAAAATAATAATTTTAATACGAAATAAATATAGTAATTATACAGGGAGGCTTTTTTAGTGTATCCATTTTTTTTAAATTAAATTCTAGACATAAATGATATTATATAAATACACAATTCATTTATTTTACGCGCGAACATTCATAACTAACACGCACACAAGTTCGTTTCAAATATATACGACGCATTTATGAATGACTACCGCATTGTCAACAAGTTCTATTTTTTTGTCGATTGAATGGCAATTTTTTTGAAAAAAAAAAAAACTTTGTTTTTAGTTCAATTAACGATTAAACTACCGAGTCTGAACCTCCTGTGTGAATTTTGGCACCTTTAGAAAAGCCACCCTGTATAATAGAGATGACATTATCAGTTGAACTTACATTTTTGTTATTGATTGTTTTCACTGTGGTCTTCAATAAATTTAACTTTATACCATCGGTACTGATGCTGTAACAATACATAAACATTAACACTGCAAATTATTTTTCCATAATATTTTACTATTGAGTAGATACTACACTTTGATCTTAGCCAAAAGGCCGAGAAGCGATGGTAGGGCCACGCAGCAGCCTCGGCTGTTGCACGAATGGGCAGGCCCGTCCGGGTAAGTACCATGACCTCACAGAAGACCGGCGTAAAGTGGAAGTATAACAAATACTTTCGCGTTTCGTCTGGTGAGTGAGGTAGCCGGAGCCCAATTTTCAAAAGGTTGTCAACGCATCTGTAACCCTCGGGTGTGGCAGATGTCCATGGGCGGCGGTATTCACTTAACATCAGGTGAACCGTCTGCTCGTTTGACTTTTCGCATAAAAAAAAAAAAAAAAAAACTATTGAGTATCATGTCCAAAAATTTTAGATCTAAAGCTTTTGTTTCTCAATTATTTAATTGTATATCAATGCATATGTATGTTATGCAAGAGACCGTAAAGAATTTAATATCTTGCAACACTTCAACAATTATTTGATATTATTTTTGTATTCAAATAATTGGGTATTTCAAAAGTGGATTAGAGAAAATATTAACTTAGTGACAGTGCAATACCGTTTTTAATTAATTTAAGTTATTATTGACACTTGTAGCCACCTACAATACATGTTCAGTTGCACCTGCACCCTTCAGTGGGCCCTCAATACCTTACACACCAAATGAAATGCAAAGTTATACTTCCACATCACACCGGTCTTTGAGGCAGTGGTGAATGTGAGAATAACAACAGAAGCTGTGTGGCCCAAACAAAAAACTTTTTCGCACAAATCCTAGTAATGTTAATGGAGGACATTAGCAGGTTTTTTTTAATTTAGCAATTTCTTACTTCTGTTTATCTAAGACAGTCTTCTCTGGCTCTTTCTTTTTTTGTTCTATTTTTTTACTTGCTATGGGCACACTTTTAGGCTCTTCCGTAAATACTCTTTTACATCTGAAATAAGATTAATAGTGAATTATAATTTTCAATGTCATATCTTATTGTATATTAAGAAACGAAAAATATCTGTTCAGGGTGTGAATGATTTAATGAGGTATCTGAGAAAATTAAAAAATAAACATGTTGATAAATCACGTTTACTATTAATATATTAATTATATTTACTTAGAAAAAGCTCATTAATATAATAATATGAATGAAATTTTAACTTAGAAATGGTTCCTTGAAAAAGAACCCATTTTTTCTTATTGTGTTAATTTCTCATTTTTTTAATTGTATTTGACCATTATGTTAGAAAATCTCTGAAATCAGGAAGTTAATTTGAAATCAGTAAGCCAATATGAAAAATCAATCTCACCTTTGGCAGCGACTAAAATCAAAACCAGTATAACCGCAGGATTTACATAATGCCAACATGCCGTCGACATATCGTGGAGGTGGTGATCGCTGCTCAGGAGATTCTGGACTATTACCTACTGCAAAATGTTTATGATTAAATAGATCATGCAAATACGTGTATGGGCATATTTGTTCCAAGTGTTTAAATTTTTTCTTTTAAGTGAGAAAGTGGCAAACGAGCTGGCGGTTCTCGTTATGTTAAGTCATAACAGCCGCCCAGGGACATTTTCAACACCCGCAGGATTGCAGATGCGTTGCCATCTTTTAAAAAATTGAACCTCGGCTCACCTCACCAAACGAAATACAGAAGTATAACACTTCTACTTTATGTCGGTCTCCTGTGAGGTGGTACTTACCCGGACGGAACTGCCCATTCGTCAACGACGAACACTAATGCGTGGCCCTAGCACATTGTACTTATTTCAAATGAGGGTGAAAAAATATGTTTTTTAAGTGAAAAGTTGTCAAGCGAGCAGGCGGTTCACCTGATGATAAGTGAATACCACCACCCATGAACATCTGCTACACTCGAGGGTTGCAGATGCGTTGACATCCTTTTGAAAATGATTTATGGACTCTGGTTAAAAAAGACGAAAAGCGAAAGTAATATACTTCCACTTTATGCCGGTGTTCTGTGAGGTTGTGGTACTTACCCAGACTAGCCTGCTCATGCATGCAATAGCTGAGGCTGCTGCGTGGCCCTACCACAGGTACTAACTAACATGTCTAACAGAAATAGCAAAATGCGAGCAATTTTATTTCTTAGTGTAATGCTTTTAATATTTACTTTCTTTATCAACCAACAGATAGTAGATGTTGTATGTTATATAGTCTTTTTTATGTACATAAATTAAAAATAAAATTTTATTACATTGATTTCTTGGTTATAGGATTGATAACTAATCTGATTTATTTTTATATCTTTTAATACAAGTTTATAAGAGCAAATTGGTGGAAAAACAAATTGGCTCTTTGTATAACATGTTACTATAAAATGTAATTAGACAAGGATTCACATTAAATTATTTTTTTAAATTAATAAAAAAATTACAACACATACTACCACAATTAGCCTTATTAAGTAAAGTCACAGCCTATATCTTTTGTCGCAAGGTAAGCAGGCAATTTAAGTGATTGAGAGGTTTAAGTGATTATCACCACTCGTAGCCATCTACACTACCTGTTCGGCTGCACCTATTTAGAGTGGGCTCACAATACCTTACTCACCAGATGAAATGCTAACTTATACTTTCACATCACACTGGTCTTTGAGGCAGTGGAGAATGTAAAGAACAACAAAAGCTGTATGGTCCTACCGAATAATTTTTTCTCACAAATCCAATAGTATTTTATGTTTAAATGGAGGACATTAGGAAAAGCTACTCCTCTGTAAAAGGGTATAAGAGCATAGTCAATCACGCGGCCCTACTGCGGATTGGCGGACTTTACATATCTTCGAGATATTTTTTTTGCATTCGAAAACATATAGGATGCTCCTAATGTTTTCCTTTATCGCTGAGCATGTGATAAGTTAGCACTTTAAATTAACAATTTCATCATTGCCGGCAAAGGGGATCGACACAGGTTGCTAGAGTTTATGGAGTTAACCACTTACCATTGTCAGGGCACTGACTCTTTTCTGGTGTCGACATTTCACTATTTTGTGATTGTGATAATGTACTAGGTGAGCCTCTTCTATTTATATCACCAATAAGCATCTGTAAAGGAAGGAATTAGAAAATTTATTTGAAACATGTATGCTGAATGGATTTATACGATAATGAAAAAATTAAAACTGACCGGATGATTTTCTAACATCTCTTCTATTCTTGTTGTCGACCCAACAGAGACAAAGTAGTCAATTTCACTGCTAGTGTTTTGCATGCATTGTATTTGTGTGTCTTCCGAAAAAGGAACATTGACCTGATAAAAAAAATATATTGTGATTCCATTGGCAAATTGATAAATATAATTTTCACTGCAAATACAGAAATATTTCAAAATGCACACCTGCTCAAGCACTTCTTGAAGTGTACAGCTCTCTTTGGGCAAAGTAAATGTTATCAACCTCTGTTCACCGTTCTGGAGAAAAATTAACATTTTGGCAGATTGTGGTTCTGGATTTTGTTCAGATGGTCCACTACTTGCTTCAGAGTTATCTGTAAATTTTATAAATTTAATTTATTTAAATACAAAATGTAATAAAAATACAGCATCTAACTTTAAAAACTGAAAATTTTAAAGCGATAAATAATAAAACCAGCATGGCCAATGTCTGATTAGAGTGTAGAATCCAAACAGAAATGAGTAGAAATGAATTAAACACCATATTATGTAAGTTTATAGAAGAAATCTCTTACATAATACAGATTTCTAAGCTTACAAACTAATGAATGCACCACGAAACCTATTCCAGTTTTAAAATTTATTACTGAAATAATGGTGTAATGTCATGGTGAAGTTCAACATTTTCTTTTAGTTGATTAATGACTTGTTACAACTTAAAAGAAAGAATGACTATGCAACACATATAGAAGCAGCAAATAAATTTATAGAAATAAAATCAAGCACAAAATATCGCACATTATGATAAATAATAGTAATATTATTTTAAAAGGATTTTCATGAAGAAAATTAGTCATAATATAATAATATTTTATATTTGATTTTGTATTCATAATTTATATTTCCATTTTGTATTTATAAAGCGATACATACCAGGCTGCATTGACTGCTGTTGATTTTGCATAGGAGATACTCTTTGTACTGGTCGGGGTTGTTCTTTACTTTTTACTAGGGTTTGCCGTCCAGTTTCTCTGCAGAGGCAAAATATTATTCAAAAGAAAAACTAATAAGATTGACGCTAAAGCGTCATAATAGATCATTAAATCTATAGATACAAATAAATAATGCATTTCAAAGATTCACACTTTTCAGTTTTTACAGTTTCAAACAAAAACATTTTTTTGTTTTTTTTATTTATATAATTATATCGTTACATTTGGGTCCCTAATTAATAATCAAGAACATAATTATTTTTATTAGAAAATATATTGCAAAGGATAAGACATCATATGGTAGTAGATAATATCTAACACATGCATATCCAAATAATACTAATCTGGATAGTTCCTTTTTCGAAATATTATGTGATAACCTTATTATAAACAGTGAAAGTAAAAATAGAGTGAAAAGATTCAGGTCAAACAATTTTTTTATTTTCTTCTTTATTGTATACCTGTTAATTCAAAATTATAACTAACAGAAAACATATTCTGAGGAATCCATAACAATATATTTAAAGACTGATTATTTTTGGTGTAATTTATTTGTTCAGATGTGAACATCAGGTTTGTAGGAGTATTTAATGGACTTTTTGAAGGATGAATTAACAAACCAAAAAGAACTTAAATTTTATTTAAGTGGAATGTACTTACATTCAAACAAAAATTCAATCATAATTTATTATAACAAATCATGAGCATATAGTTTTCAGCACAATGATAAATCCTAGTCCTTTGTAAATATGAAACTTTTTATCCTGTAATTTACATGCAAAAAAATATAACCATGTGAACATACCCTGGTTGCTGCAGTTGCTGAACAAGTTGCTTTTGTGATCGAGGCTGATGCAATCTTTTATATTCGGCAAGCGTTATTCTCTGACCATTAGTCAATGTAAGCACATGTCTTTCTTCTTCTGAATTATCTGAATCCATTAGGAGATTACTGAGAGTTGATGGGTTTTGATGTAAATGAGATGTCTCAAATGCAGTCTGTTGTTGTTGAAAATGTTGAGGGCTAAATGATACTTGATGTTGTGGCAGCACCGATCCGCCCGGGAGGCCTTGTCTGATATTTTGAGGAGAGGGTATATGAAACTGTTGGGGCGAGTTAATGCCTTCATTAACTGCTGGATGTTTTTGGACTATAGCTGCAGTAATACTATCTTCGAGATCATCCATATCGCTGGCGTTATTTGGCTGCACAACCACTTTTTTAACTTGTTGTTGGACTTGAGGATGTGGGGAAACTCTTTGCGCAGTTGTATTTAACGTATTCTGTTGAGGTAGTGGTCCGTTATTTTGGTTCGTTTGTACGACAGTATGTTGTGCCATTTGTGTCTGTAGGGCTTGTGTTACAATTGTGCCTTGTTGGGTGATAATACGCGTTGGTTGTGAAAGGCCCGCGTTCTGTTGGCTGAGGAGTATCTGCTGCTGCAACAGTTTGAATTTAATAATAATTTAACATATAAACATAGACATCATATATTAATCAATTTGGACATACTTGTTGTGTTGTCAATTTCAGCTGATTTATTTGTTGTTGAACTTGTTGCTGCTGGTGGACTTGCTGACTGACAACATGTTGCGCTAATTGATGTTGTTGGGCCTGAAAATGCAAGTAATATAAGTAAAAAATAGTTTAGAATTTTAATGCAGTCATTGTCTGTAGAGAGGAGTGTCTTACAAAGGGATGTAAACAAGTTATTATGATATACACCCACCATAATCTACAGTTGATGAGCTGTGATAGCTCAGTATCTGATTGTAAATTTTAAATGCCGACTTATCACGCGCTCAGCAGTGTACAAAACATCGTGATACCTTTATTTTTTTGGTATCGGGGGGGAAATCTTCAAAAGATACCCTGTCAAGGGTTATGTGGAGTTTGTACCCACTAAAACCCCCTCGGTGGCCACCTTCTGTACCTTTGGAGGGACTCCGGGATCTCCTACGGAACGCACCGGTGTCCCTCAGTACTGCGCGTGAGCACGCCTCGGAGAGGGGTAATCCTTCCCCGATTCCCTCGCCATCTTCCAGCAGCACGAAACCACTTCGTGCTGCTGCCAATCCCTTTTACGACAGCCAGGGGATACCTTAGCTCTATTCTACGACCCCGAGACTACAGGGCTGACGGGGCGCCTCGTCCATTTCTACCGACCCGGTGTCTTCGTCTCTGAGCGGAGTTGGCCCTCTCCCGTTCCCGCTCAGCGGTCTCCTTCTGGAGCATAACAGCTTCGCAGAAGGAATCGTGAGAAGACCTAAATATTTTCGAAATATAAAGAAAATCTGCCAATCTGCAGTGAGGCGCGGGATATAATATGCCCTAATGCCCTCTGTGCAGAGGATTTGAACTCAGGATCCTTGAGTATTTTGAATTAGAAGCTTCCGGACAATGAGCTATCACGACCACATACAAACAACTTAAACAAACCGCTTTATAGGCCAGAGGGAGACAACAAACAGATCAGGAGCTGCGCGAACGAGAAAGCGACAGTCTCTCGCGTACCGCGCACGAAGAGAACTGAACTGCTGAGAGAACGAGACGGCGTCGTTCGCCGTACCACGAACTCGTAACGGTCGTCAGTTTCGCACCTGAGCGAGGGGAGTGCGGGGCCGCGCGGGCCGGTGTTGCGCGTGCGGGTTGAGGACGCGCGGGGAGCCGGGCCTCGGGGCGCGCACCCCTCGCACCGGCGTTCCGCCCGCTACTACCGCACCGCCTACGCTCGCCGCCGCGTTCGTGGGGGTCAGACCGCGCACGTTTACCGGACTGCTCTGGCCCTGTATCACACGTAGCCTTAAAACACAGCCCTTGTGAGTATGTAAAGCTATTCAATTAATCTTGTAAATTGCTATTAAATGTTTGGTACTTTAGGTAATTGTTGTTGCATGGTAGTTTCTTCCTGTTTTCTGCCTTCGGGAACTTGCATGATGGCTTTGAATCAATTGTACTGAGAATCCCGATCTCCTGATCTTTTATTCTTTATATTAACAATACCAATGAAAATATGTGGATCATTAATTAATTATTTGGCAAAATGGTAAAAGGAACTTTTTTTTTATTCCATTTAGTATACTTTTTCCATTACAATTATCCTAAATGTGCATTGTTTAACAATGCTCAATACCATAGAACTAATACTAAATACTAATATATAAGATATTAAATACTAATTTGTATCAAGTATAAAATTCACTATAAGAATAAGATGACAAATAATCGATAAAAAATGATTAATCAACTCTAAACAGATGAAAAGATTCACAGCATTTCCTAGATTTTCTTAACTATCACTCTTAAAGTATACCAAATAAATATTAAAATTAGAATTAAAGCATGGAATTTTCCTAAGTGTTTACAAACAAATAGAAAACATTTTAACAAAAGAAATAAAAACACCGACACACTCTCAGCCTTATAAAGCTCATGTGTCTAAGTGACACATTATTGCACGTATATTATGAGCATGACTTTCAAGTATTATAACTAAGCCTTCACTGCTTCAAAGCAAACTATGTTCAAACTAATTTATTGTTGTAAAATTCACATATAAAGTTTCATGTTGAAAGCGGAGATTGTGAGGTGGTCTATTTCCTAACACCCTTTGTAGAGAGTTACTTTACTTTTCACTCTAATAAAAGATATTACCTGTTGGTGTTGGGGATTGAGGAGCCGCGTGGGTACTTGCATAGCGGATGGACTCGCTAACGACGCCCTCCCCGCTGGTCGGCGCGGCCTAACAGTCCTTACGGGAGTTCTTACTAAAGTCACTCCCGCAGGACTGCTTAGTGTTTGGTTTAGAAGCCGCGGTGGCGGTTGCCTTGATGGCGTGCCCTTAAATTTAAAAATGATTACAATGATGAGTTTTAATGCACAGGAAGCTTAGTAGTAGTAGTTACAGTTTGAAACACTAAATGATATTTCAACTTTTTTATTATTGCTTCTGCTACGATTTATTTTTTAGAACTTGCTGTGTACAACTTTTCATCATTAATTAGCCTATACTTGCAACTACATCCTGGAGGATCTTGTAACATGATTTACATGAAAATCAAATTTGATTTCAATCAATCATTTTGATTTATGCTTTAGTCTTTATAACCATCATTTAAGTAACAGATAGCTGTGTCAGGGTGCTCATTTTAATTTAGTATAGGTAATCAATCAATCAATCAAGCAATGTAATTGTTAATTGCAATTTTAAGTGCTCACTAATGGCATGCTCAGTGGTGAAGGATATTTTCGAAATAATAACAAAAATATATATATAAACTGTGGATTTGCCGCTCTACAGAAGGAGGAGCCTTTGTACTGACCACTTCATTTATTTATTTTGATTATATAAATATATACTAATTACTTACCTGTTGGTTGATGTAAGCAGCATGCATAACAACTTGTTGGTGTTGAATCTGCTGTGGTTGCAAATGCTGCTGCTGCTGCAGCTGATGAAGTTGTTGTTGTTGCTGCTGCTGCTGTTGCTGGAGCTGTTGTAAGTGGATTTGCTGCTGATGTTGTTGTTGCAAGTGTTGTATGAGTTGAGGTGATGCTCTTGAAAGTTGCGGTGGCTACAAAGAATAAAAAAGATTTTATGTTATTTGTTTAAAATATTAAGAAATTGCTGGCCAGTGCACTCCACTTACCTTCTTGATACAGGTACCACAAAAGTAAAGCAAAGATCTGACAACTCATAATTTTAAAACAGGTAAACCTCTTTTAATATTGTGATATTAAGCCCCAGCTTCATAATGACTAATCTAAGAAGTTATAACTTTAAATTATATCACAGTGAATATTAAATTTGAACTTAAAATACTTAATCGTAGTTACATCTATTAAGAATATTACTAAAGAATTAATGGACCCAGAAAGCCCAAATGAGAGCCTACAATTCAAACTATGAATAGGATAGGTGTAATTCATTGTTCTGTTCAGTTATATTTTTTTGTAAATTTGATATATTAGTAAAATTGTTCAACCATCCTGGAATAGAAAGTGATTTTTTTATGAAAGTGGCAAGCGAGCTAACATTTCACCTGATCTAAATTGAAAATCACTCCCCATGGCCATTTACAACACCTGTAGGGTTGCAGATATGTTGCCGCCTTTTTATAAAGTGGGCCCCGGCTACCACACTCACTACACGAAACGCAGAAGTATAACACTTCCACTTCACGCTGGTTTCCTGTGAGGTTGTAGTACTTACCCTGATGGACCCGCTCAGTCATGCAACAAAGCTGTTGCATGGCCCTACCACAGTATTTAGTACAGTAAATATTTGAATAAAAAAATAACGATTACTGCATTATTCATGACATTATTGTTTATTTTTTTCATTATGCTTCCTAAGTAATTATTAAAAAATAAATCTTAAAAAATTGTAATGGCACATTCTAGCCTACATATATTTCTTTGCATTTAATCCATTTCCAGGCTTATCACACATTTCCAGAACTTCAACAGTGTTATGAAGGTAAAAACATCTTGAATGTAATATTTCCATTGGCATCATTCCTAATATACTCCTCAAATTATCTATGGCTTTAATTGTAAACAGCATCAATGATCTTGATTACATATTTTCAGTAACTTTTCAAAAAACAATAAACTAATTGATTTAATTGGAACAACATCTATTAGGTCAGCTAGAACCATACAACCAGCCACACATGAATAATGTAGCGCATAATTAAAATATTTGTAAAAATATAGAAAATCTTTGAATTTAGGTAAGTACTTTCAGAAATTACCTTTACATAGAAACTAGCAACAGAACAACGGCTTTGTTTACTGATAAATCTGCAACATGTGCAATTATGAAAATGGTATACAATGCTGATGATATTATTAACATATGTTATCTGCTGTGAGAGATAAGCCTTGGGGTTGATGCATAGTCCTTCAGCTTCCTCTTACTATTATGATCACATCACATAAGCTATAAATTAGTTAGCTATAATTTACATACAATGAAGCATATTATATTACATATGTTGTTTCATGCCCCATAACATCATTACATTGCTTAAATATGAGCAGTACTAACATTTTGAGTAGAACCATGTTGAGGTGTTGCCGACTGAGGTGGAGGCTGTGGTGGTGGCTGTTGTGCTGGATGAATCACAGTGGGTTGGGAAAGCACATGAGCAGGGCTTACTAACTGCTGCAAAAAATAAAAAAAAAATATGGAAAACATCATTAATAAACTTATATAGACACTATGATTTAGATTTACTTTACTTTCACCATTAGAAATATGTTTTTGTTTTGTTAATACTATTTATATATGGAATGCTATTAAATACAAATTTTTCACCAAATGAGACACCATAGACAGAGTAAAATAATGAACATTTTATATCTATAAGGAGCTTTTAAATGGGAATAGAAGTTTAGAGTTTTTGTACATATCCCTTGAAATAGGATAAAAAACAAAAGTAAACGCTATAGGTTAACACACATATAAAAAAGCAAAATAATTAAGCAAAGCGACTTATTGCTATATATCCAATAAAAATAAATGCAAGGCTTATTCTTATAACATTTAACAATTGTATGATGGATACTGTAGTCATGGGGTTCAAATTAGAAAAATTTTATTGAAAGTTCAAAATTTGAAATCAACATCAGCGAGAGAAATAATTATAGTTGGCTATGTGTTTATGGGGTCCAATCTGTCTGTCCATTATGAGAATTATATCCTAAGAAACAATTCAAGAAAGCTGTGTATCATCAATAGTATTCTCATATATTTTTAATACAAAACAAGAATGTATGAAGTAAATTAAAAAAATATTTATTACAAATGATACTTTTAGATAACAGTAAATTTTATATTACATCTGAAAAGATTTTTTCTAAATCTTAACATATTTTCATCTCAGCTTGGATATGCCACTCCTATTGTGTAACTTACATATTTTTGAACATTTAAATGGTGTACTATCTAAAAAAATAAGCAGTTACAACACCACTGCACTATGGGTTCAATTCTAAATTTTAAGCCAGCATATAAGCAATGTCTTCTGACTAGAAATTCTCTTTTGCAATCTACAAATATTGCTCTCTGAGAATATAATATCTCACCAACGTTTAAGTATTTTATTATAATCATGGGTAAGGTCTTAAATGTGGTAATTAATAAGAAAAAGCATTAGTTACTAGAAAGTAGTGAAAAATTCATGCCAAGCGAAGTACTCTACTTTTAGCTATGGAATGTAGAGGGATGTTTCCTAAATAATACAGTGCATGACATTTGACTTATGCCCTAAACATCCAGTCAATGAACATACATGTTGTGGACGTTGAGGTGTTGGCTGTTGCATCAAAGATGCATCAATGATCTGTTGAGCCTGTTGCAACACAACCTGAGCATCCACAGGTAAATCAGAAGTGTAGTAAACCTATAAATAAATTGTTCATAAGTACCAGGTGTAATAAATAATACTTTTTATTCACTTGTGCACATATAAACTTTTTCAAATTTTATTTGAATATAAAGAATTATATTTAGAATCAAGTTAAAATAAGTATAAAATACTTTATATAACTTAAACTTAAGTTCTCTTAAGCAATGTACTGTAGGAACCCAGTCCTAAATGTATATAAGCTCAAATACACAAAAAAAAAATTCAAATGTATTTGGCTGCAACATTTATATGAAACATTTTACAAGAGGTTACATCAGTTGTCGCACTAAACATAATATACTAGACTAGATAATATTAAGAAATTATTTTATCTTATTACCTGGTGTCTATGTAAAGCTTGTTGTTGCTGTTGCTGCTGTTGTTGTTGTTGTTGTTGTGGTTGTTGTTGTGGTTGAAAATCTGTGCGTGTTGGGGGAGTTTCATGGCGAATGATATACTGTTGCTGATATTGCAACCCATCTCCAACAACTAATTGTGGCTGTGCACTTTCACTCACTACAATATCATTTGGCTGGTCTGCTTGTTGGACTACAACCTTGATGAGAGATACATACATAGGAATTAAGATTTTTACTATTGATCTATGACTTTTCAAAATAAAAATCACAGGAACACAGTCTTACTTGCTGTTGGCCATATTGTGGATCATCTTGGTTAACTATAATGCCATCCAAACAAATATTAGGGCAATATCTCTGTAGATCTTCAAGTGTCAAATGATGTCCTTGCCCAACTATTTGATAATACTGAGCCATTGCAAAAGCTTAGCCTGAAAGTGTTTAATTAAATGTGATGTAAAAAATATTTCGTTTTGTTATTATTATTACAAAAACAGAAATATGGTTAACACTATCTTTCTCTGTCTTCATAATTTCCTGTAAGGTATATATTTGTTTCATTTATAACTTATTATTCATTTAAAATACATTTGTTTTGAAAATATTCAAGTTTAAACACGCCAGAAACAATGTTTTCAAAACTAATTTCTCGGTTTGTAAGATTTGTTTACAAAATTATAGCCTTACATTTTAATTTACACTTAGTGCATTTACAGCTTTTTATTATTTATATAGTTTTTTTTTTAATATCGTAACTATCACATTCAGTCACATACATAATTTTGACGAGCAACTACTTGGTTGACAGGTATTTCATACACCCTGAACTGTACGTACAACAACAGCAGCAATGACTTCGTGGATCGTGTGAACATTCATACTATGGCGACGATATATTAATTAACCCTCAATCACAATTTTTCAAACATTTAACAAACTTCACGATTATCTGGCGAAATACAGTAAATAACACTAAATCGTCTTTCAAACCGTTTAAAGAGACAGAATGAAATGGCTTCGATTCTTTACATCCAACCTAAATTCCGTTCAAGGTGATATTTTAACAATGATTTCGACAAATATTTTTACCTATTTCTTACCAATATTAACTAGGGACATTTTAAATGCCATAAGGATACTGAAAAATATAACTTTTAGCATCAAAATGCAAAATTTTTAACACAAACGCCAAATCTAGAAGCAATTTACATTATGGCGTGTGTGTCACTTTTTTAATTATACGCTTTTTAATCTGTGTTGCTACATGGTTTGAAAGAATAATTATTTTAATTTTACTTGTCTCTAAATTTTCTCCAATATTAAAAAATATTTATTATTATTATAATTGGGCTTATTTCTTTGTTTTCTGGTTTGGTTGGGTTTATAGATAAAAAAATAAACATATAAATATATAAAATAAATATTATGAATAAAAATAACTATATAGATATAAATATTATATATAAATAGGACCCAACCAGACGGAAGCCCTCGGCAGGGGAGACCAAACGGCCAAGGGTTAGGGTGAAAGGGAGAGAAACCGGCGGACGATGCGGGCGGTATCGAGGAGCACCACTTTCTGCATTAGAGCTTGGAGCGTTCCGTCCCGGAGTCCCAGTCGCCTCAGATGTCCGGAGAGCCTGGCTGGGATCAACCCATTCGCAGATACGACTATCGGGATAATTTCGGTCGGCACACCACCCCACAGATCGGTCACCTCGTGAGCCAGGTCCAGATACTTCGTCTTCTTATCTGTTTCGGCTTTCACGAGGTACTCGCCATATGGAATGATAATGTCGACCAAAAATACTCGCGACTGTGCCCGGTTCATCAACACGATATCAGGTTTGTTCGCGACAATCGTCCTGTCCGTGATGATGGACCGGTCCCAATAGAGCATGGCGCGGTCATTTTCGAGCACGGCCTCCGGAGAGCACTTATAGTACGGCAGTTTCCGTTCCACGAGGCCGCATTTCAGAGCGAGCTCCTGGTGTAGGATTCTGGCTACTAGGTTGTGTCTATGCAGATACTCAGAGTTAGAAGCATGGAAAAACCGGAGATAACATGCCAAAGCGAATCCCCGAGATGGCGACAAGCTCGAAAGATGTCGAAGGTGCCATCCCTTAGGATTTATTTCCGATAGTTGTTCGTCTTAATAACCTGATCCTGTATCGCACAGACAAAACCTTCGGTTTCCCCAAAGAGGTCACCGAGGCTCGTGTAGAGCTTTGTAGAACTTCCCGTGGAGCTCTTTCTCCTTCCATACGGTCTCTCGATCGGAAACGCTCAGTACTCCCGGGTCCTGCCATTGATTAGAGGGGTAAGTCCTTTATCACAACTAATGACGTCCGTGTAAATTGACTCATCCGATCTCGCCAAAAAGGAGTTACGGAGGCTGCAAACCTCGCAACTGTGTACCATGCTTCTGCGGCAGATACAGCCTCATCCCGACGATCTCGGATGATGCATCCTGTGGGACGTCATAGTTGTGCGGACTTTTCGGTCCAGGGCGTTCAGCTTAGTTTGAGTCCACCTGAGTATGCCAAAGGTATACATGAGAACTGGCATGACCCAGCCGTTTAATCCGCGCGCCTTGTTCACGCCTGACAAATGGCTGTTAAACACCTTTGTCAGGCGTGCAAAAAACACGTCACGAACTGGCGGTCTCATGCCAGCCTCATCGATACACATGTTTTGTGACATACCCAGGTATGTTTCAGTCAGTTCCAGAGAGGGTCCTTATGTTAACTGGCATAGATAAGTCAATGCCCTCCGTATTAGCGACCTTATCCCTTTCGAAATGGAAGACCGCACACTTATCCGTCCCGAGCTCCATTTTGATAGAATTGCTGAAATCACAATAATACAATAATAATTGTGCGGGATAACTTAGTTTATAAGTGAACTATGACTGACAAGTAAATTAGGTTTCTTTTGTATAAGTAATTCGATAATTAGTTCATGTTAATAAAACAGTACCCGGAGGTTTGTTTTTTTTTTTGGTAAATCGTGTATTTTGGAAATTACATTTAGATACAAATTACTGAGTAATGAAATATGCATAATATTTTTCGATCTTACCGACGTAGTAATAAGAAAATATGAACTGATGTTTTTCACAAAAGAAAGAACTTAAAAAAAAGGGAAAAAAAAAAAACAAAGTAACAAATGCACAAAAAATTAAAAATAAAGAAAGCAATGATCTGGAATCGAAAAAAAAAAACAATAAATGTGTAAATGATCGTGACGCGATCCACGGTCGTCTGTTTTGGGGCCGCCCGATTACCGACCGAGCTATTCTTTTGCGGCGAAATTTACCGTCGTATTGAGAATTATATTTTTCATTCCCTGAAAACAGGGATAAAATGACATTTTCTAAAAATGAAACCTAGCTAGATCGATTTTTCGCCCCCGAATCTACGCACATACTAAATTTCATGAAAATCGCTGGAGCCGTTTCCGAGATTCCGACTATATATATATATATAAATATATATATATATATATATATATATATATATATACAAGAATTGCTCGTTTAAAGGATAAGATAAATTAAGTTTTATTCATAAGAAAATATCTGTACAGAACGTCTCATAATAAACCATTTTCATTTTGTCTTCACGACATTCTTGTTTCTTTACCAATCCAGCACACTGAAATGTGCATTGCGCATAATAATCAATTACTATATTATTGTGATTAGAGGTCGTGGTACTTACCCGGACGAGCCTGTCTGAGCTGATTATTATTGGTGATTATAGCATGATATACCACTGTTGGTCTTAGAGGTCTTAACAGATCGGCCGGACTTGAGATGGCCGGGCGTTCGGGGCACCTAGACAGAACCTCGGTGACGCGTTATGGTGACTAAGCTCGATGCCCCCGACGGAGCCTCGGCTCCGGCCGTCACGCTATTATTAATTTCACCGGTTCGGGAGGCCACCAAGTACTTAGGGCGCTTAAGTGGAGCTCCATAGAGTGCTTGGGCTGTCACTCAATACTTGTTTAGCCTTCCGATTCTAAGGTGCCCGAGTGGGCTGGACCTCGGCTCGATCCGTAGCTATAAGTTGACTGAAAGAATTTCTAGATCTATCATTATTTCAACTTTGGAAAGCGGGAGAAGAAGTGGCGGAAACTCCACCAACTGCCAGTTTTTTTTTATGTGAAAAGTTGCCAAGCGAATACCACCGCCCATGGACTGCTACACCCAAAGGTTTGCAGATGCGTTGACAACCTTTTCAAAAATTGGGCTTCGACTACCTCACTCACCAGACGAAACGTGAAAGTATTAGTCATACATATTTCCACTTTACGCCGGTTTTTTTTTCTGTGTCTGTTACGGAAGTCATGGTACTTACCTGGACGAACCTGCCTTTACGTGCAACAGCCGAGGCTGCTGCGTGGCCCTAACACCGTTATGTGGTGTAACCTAGTAAATGTTTGCCGGCGAGTAGCCGGTGAGTGCGGTGTGTTTTTGTGTGTTTTCGTAATTTGTTTGATCCTGTCGATTGCGATAGTCGTCTGATCGTCGAGGAAACCAAGTACATGTCGCGGTCTACGCCAATTGCCGCGGAACGTACAAAGTCGCGGGCACCTACGATTAACGGATAGAGTTCCAAAATCCAACTCAAACACCATTTTATAATAGTTAAGATTGTATACAGATGTGTACGCACAGACAGATGACCTGTTCCTTAAAGTTACCACAAAATGATATATAAAATTATACCAAACAATATATATAATGTACATTTTTAATTAATATTATCATTAAAAAATACATCTATTTCTATACTAAAATTAATTGGAGTCGGGAGCAGGGTAGGATTTTGTATTCTAGTTATAGTATTTGTACTATAATTTCATGCTTCGCACTATATACTATACATATTTAAGGATAGTACAAAAACGTACTATAAATTCATTTCTTTAAATGTCAAAAAAAATTAAAATTCAATTCTAAATGAATAATATAATACCATTCATTGCCAATCCAACATTAAAAGACGTTCTTTGGATTGTAATTGTATCGAACAATAGAAAGTAGGCATGGCAAAAAATATCGATATATATATATCGTCGATATCTTCATTCCCGATATATCGATATTTATTAACGACTATCGAATTCGTGTCACTTTCGATATATTTTTTAACACAACTCTGGCTTGGTGTTGCTATGGGGCCCATTCATTAGCCTGCCTGGCAGTCTGCCGTGCAGGACTGCAAAACTTGATGTAGCCATTTCTGTAATATTACTTTACTCCATCATAGTGTCAGTGTTGTTGTTGTAATAATTATGGATTTACGTGAAGTATCGAAAAAAAAATAGCGATTCTGCTATGTTTTTTTTTGTTGTTAGATAAAAGTTTTTATTAATATATGTATTTAATTAAATCATATATGTATTTAAATCATAACCTTTCCTCACATTATCATACTAATATATATAAAATTTAAGTAATAACCTAAGCTTTTCTCAAGTTGAACTATTTTATTTTACAATTGCAAATTAATAAATTTACAAAAAAAACACATGAAAAGAAGTGAAATTCAAAAGTCGCATCTATCTAATTTGCCAGGCTTCTTCGGTGTCTTCAGAAAGTTTCGTTTAACAGGGGAGCACATTACAGAGATTAACAGAGGGTGCTCCTAAGTCCATATCAGATGATTATTGGTTCGAATAAATTGTATTTGATTGAGTTGATTATTAATAAGTAAGTAAGTGCTTTTTCTTCACGTCTATTTTTTTCACGAATTTGGAATGAAATATAAATATTAAAAAAACCTTAAAAAACATATCGATATATCGATTTATCGATATTTTTCACTCAATACTTATCGATAGTTTGTAAAAATGTCGATACGATAAATATTTTTGTTTACTTGCCCATCCTTAAGGGGCCCATTCATTAGCCTGCCTGGCAGTCCGCCGTGCAGTCCGCCGCTCTATGCAGGATCGTGAATGGTGTTGCAGGCCTGCACAGTATCGGGCAACACCGAGCAGGACGGGCCTTGCATCCTGCAAGGGTCCTGCAAGCTCCGACCACCGCTTGCAGCCGCGCAGGAGAGTCAGTGGTTTGGCCGTCCTGCGAATCGGCAGTGCTGCCATATGAAGAAAACAATATGCACTAAGCCTTTAGCAAAATTACGCTATTTATACGAAAATATGGCTGCTAACTTAGGAGGTTTTTTTGCAAATTTACACAGTAAATATTTTCAATAGAAATTATTTAGGAGGTTTTTTTTTTGAAATATTTTTAGGAATTAAATTTTATTCACAGGTTTGAAAAAAATCTACACAGGACTAGGTACTTTATTATAGACAAAAAGAAAACGTGTGCATACCGGGACGCCCGACTGATTTGATAACCTTAAACTAAGCTCAAAAATTTTATATTGAAATAGTTTAACTTGATAAAAGCTTATGTTATTACTTAAATTTTATGTATATTAGTATGATAATGTGAGGAAAGGTTATTTATTAATAAAACCTTTTATCTAACAACAAGAAAAACTCGCCATTTTCTTTTTTTTTTCGAAACGACACGTAAATCCATAATTATTACAACAACAACACTAACACTATTGAGAGACGATGGACGGCTTGCAGGATAGTGTATGGGCTACATCCTGCTTTGCAGTCCTGCACGGCGGACTGCCAGGCAGGATAGTGAATGGGCCTTTAATTGAAAGCTGTTTTCTCTTGTAAACATTGTCTATTAGAACCATAGAACATATTAAATACAGTTGTCATCGATGAACAAATACGGAGATTTACTGTAAATTATACTTTTTTTCGTTATTCTGCTTTCTTATACAGTCTTACAGTCACTTTGCACATTGCACTCAATGATGTATAGAATAGAGTTCATAATTGTCTAATAGCACGACTAATAAACTATTTTCATGGTATGGCCGTTCTATTCGTTTTCGAAATTCACAGTGATAACACTTTTCTGCGAGTTCTTGAATAAAATAAATTATTTTTTGTGCATTAGTCATGAAAATAATAGTATACTATTATTTTTCTTAAATACTATCCTTTTAATTTTTTTTGTACTATTTTTTTTACCGCAACCTTTTTTAAAGCCAACCCTGGTCGGGAGTATGTAATCTGTGTTACTCATTACTGCAACGGGTGCAACGAAAGACCGTGTGTCGTTTTCTTCGAGGTTTATTTTCATTTTTAGCGATAGCGTTTATTACTCTAAAGATTATTAATTTATTGTAACCTCTGCTTCCAAATATTTATACTTTCCATTTAAATGTCTTTAAATGTTGGGTTTTTCGTAAAGAACTAAATTTTAGCGTTTCTTATTTACTTGATGACATTTTGTTGCCGTCCTCATATTCTCGTCGTGCAGTGCAAATGGATGATACAGTAGTTTCTCCAGGTACATTGAAAACGTCTAAGGTATCCTTATTTATTAAAATTATTTTAAAATCAGTTTTTCAAGATAAACTTTTATAGGAAACAAAATGGGAGATTCAGCATCTGAAAGCGATTCTAGTTCTCTTGATGGCGGAGCTATGCTTCCTCCTAGTACCGTCTCTAGAGATCAGTTGCAGAAGAGAATTGAGTCATTACAACAGCAAAATAGGTAAACATTTTGTCAAAAGCTTACAGTAGAATATGTATAAAAATGTGTATGTTAATATTTAATGTCAAAAGTACGATCCTAAACTGCGATAATATAGTAGTCTCCATACCAAATAAAATTAAAATAATACAAAAAAAATCGCTTTTATCACGTAATTGTGAGCGTATTAAATCTTACAAGATTTTTTATGTCTTTTAGTTCTATCGATATTGTTATATGTAAGTATTTATAGTAAATATTTTATTAGACATGATACGACTTACATGTCTTAGTGTGAATAAACCACTGAAATAGTGTTCAGATTGCAAAATTGTTCTATGACCTTGTTATATAAAAGACTATAAAAAAATTACCTTATTTTTCTTTGTGCTTATATCTTAGTGCTGAAACAAAGCCATAATATATAATATTATTTCAGATTTTAAAATATTTTAATAAGGACAAAAATTTTGACTTGGTACAATTATGTAATATAATGCACCATTCAATTTTGGATTAGTAAATCATTCATAATTGTGTCATTCATGTTGCGTATTTATATATTAAACACAACTTACAACTCAAGTTTATAAACGAACTGTATAAGAACTGTAACAATTATCTGTTATTTAAATTCTGTTTTAGAGTGTTAAAAGTGGAACTAGACACATATAAATTGCGAGTAAAGGCTCTGCAAGAAGAAAATCGTGCTTTAAGGCAGGCCTCAGTTTCAATTGTGAGTTGTACAAATACTATGTAATAAATATGTTCAATATATTTTTGTTTTATAAGTTATGTGATTTTAAAAGAATAATATATTTTCTGCATGAAAATGTACATAAAGGCACTAATTTAATTATAAATATTTAAATTTTGAAGTTGCTATTTTCTTTTACAGCAAGCTAAAGCAGAACAAGAAGAGGAGTATATTTCAAACACTTTGTTGAAGAAAATTCAAGCACTGAAGAAAGAAAAAGAGACTTTGGCCCATCATTATGAAAGGGAAGAGGAATGTCTTACAAATGATCTATCTCGGAAGTTGAATCAAGTATTTGTTTATTTTAATTGTATATTTTTAATTTAACTTTTGATACTAATACCTTACATACATAGTAGCAGAGATATACAATAATAATAAATGATTATTTAACCAGCAAGAACATAGGATATACAAAATACTTAGGAATTTAAAAACTTAGAACTAGATTGCTGTTTAGAAAACCAGATATCATCTGCGGCATATATCATTGCTTTTAATAGTTTGTGCTGATTCCATGCCATATATCTGATTATACAATATGTTTTAAAAACTTCATGAATTATAACATTACATTCTACCACCTATTTTATTTTATTTTTATCTAAATATACTTTGCTTGTGTAGTTATCAATCAATTTTTTTCAGTTACGTCAAGAAAAATGTCGCCTAGAGCTCACATTGGAGCAAGAGCAAGAATGTTTGGTTAATAAACTGATGCGAAAAATTGAAAAATTAGAAGCTGAAACATTAGCTAAACAAACAAATTTAGAGAGGCTCCGCAGGGAAAAGGTAAATATTATATTATAATAATATTAAGTTTGTACCTATCAATTTAAAATATTTTTTTTTTTCTAAAATATTTTCTCCCTCTAATTTCATCTAATATTTTTAATTAAGAAATAATAGAATAATTTATCTTTTAGGTAGAGCTTGAAAATACATTGGAACAAGAGCAGGAGGCTTTAGTTAACAGACTTTGGAAGCGAATGGATAAACTTGAGGCTGAAAAACGTTCACTTCAAATAAGACTTGACCAGCCAGTGTCTGATCCAGCAAGTCCTAGGTGAATTTGTTTTCAGGCTTTCAATTGTGATTTTTTTACTTGTAATAGTATACTTCTTACTTATTTTTAAATGAGTTTTGAATTTTTAATATTTCAAAGTCAATTAAATGCGTTCAATTATTAAGTACTAGTGTTGCATAAAATCTGAAATAAAACAATGAATGGTTCTTTTTGCCAGGGACATCAGTAATGGCGACACAGCTTCCAATTTAAGTAATCACATTCAAACACTGCGTTCGGAAGTTGTAAAGTTAAGGTAATTTTGGTAACTTTTTTTGTTATATTTTTGCATTGGTGGAAATTAATTTTTAAGGTCTTATAAGATTCGGGTGTTTTTATTTTCTAGACAAAATATATATTTTTAAATTTAATGTTAAGATCTTAGCTTAGTGGTTAAAGCATCTGGGTGCGATTCTGGAAGACGTGAGTTCGATTCCCGCGCCTGCAAAATTTATCGTTTAATTTTCTACACGTTTTAATGCTTGACATTATGTTTTTTGTGGAAGGAATATAATGTACCCTGTTTACATTTATAAAAAAAGTAATTCTTAGTTAACTTTCACAAACATTTGCTTTTAGAGCAAACTTTTACTCCAGCAGTTAGTGTAAGCCAGGCCATTTAGGGAGGACATCCTCCTATGACTCTGGATTTTTCTGTAGTTTTGTACATTTTTTGGAGTGCACTTTGAATTTGAATTGTTACCCATTAAAGATCTATGTAGGAGCACTATTACAGATATATCCAGATAGATAAATTGACAGGTCAAACACATCATTTCTTACTTATTTTAGCAGCAATGTTAAATTACTCAATCACTCAAACTTGTAGAGAATGCCATAAGCGTTAATCCTAATCCTAAAGGCCTTTATCCCCTTTTTGTATAAATACACAAGATTAATTTAATTACTAGCTTTTCGCCTGCGGCTCCGTCCGTATGCACTACACTTTATATTGTGCTTAAAAAGTAGCCTTTCTCATTAATGGGCTTTCTAACAGTGCATGAATTTTTCAATTCGGACCAGAAGGCCCTGAGATTAGGAAGTTCAAACAAATCAACTCTTCATTTTTATAATATTAGTATGGATTAGTATGGTACTCTTATTTTTGCCCATCCCATTATTACTAAAAATACTTTCTAGTGCAGATCAGGTCGATATTGGCCCTCCGCTTTCCCTGGTTCATTTCCAGTTAAAAGATCCAGGGGCGAATCAAATATAAGGAATTTGGGTTAAAGTTCATTCTAAGAGTACAAAAAAAGTTGTATACATCATGTTTTCGCAAATTTATAGCATTTTAATCTACCCAATGTTGGTGAGTCGAGAAAGATCCGCCACGCACTGGAAATATCGTTGTATTTTTGTTGCTGCTATAGCAACAAATAGTAAAAAACAATAAAAAAATATTTAAGTGGAGCATGTACATGCATTATTTTATTTGCTGTTTTCGTAGATATTGGTTAGGAACACTTCGTGCGCGAGTAGCACTCGCACTTGGCCGGTTATTTATATTTATATTAACTTACAATATCATCATTTTATAGACTAATATACAGCGTGTCGTTACCATCGCGACAATAAATGAACACACGTCTAACGCTACTTGCCAATAATCATAAAAAATATTAACGTTAAACAAAATCCATAATTAAAAAAAAAAAAATATTTTTCAAACAAACTAATTAAGTAAAAAGAAACAAAATTTCTATCATCCTATACAACTCGCGCCACAGCCTCTCTTTCTAACAGTATGTTTTGTCTCTTTTAAATTCATTCAACCCATTCATATGCTTTGTGACCTTTACAAATGAACTTTACGTTACAGTTTTATACGTAAGGCTGTTCTAATCTTTGTTTTGGAAAATTAAATAACTCGGTAAATATTGATGTTAAAAGAATGTAAATGTTTAATACAATTTTAAAAAGTTATCCTCTATATGTGTGTTCATTTATTGTCGCGGTGGTAACGACACGCTGTATAGTATCAACTATAATTTCATCCAATTCACCTTAACTATCATATAGGATTTTATCGCACAAATCTTTAATGTGGATCTTTAAGTTGATATTACTTTTTTATTCATGAATCGATTTAAATAAAGCTATTATGTAAAGCTTTTCTATAAAGCATTAGTAAAAGTTGCATCCAAAAAGGTTAAGCCGTTTCTGAGGTTAGCGCGCACAAACACATAGACAAAAACATAAAAATTTTAAAAATCATTGTTTTGGGTTCTATTGCGTTGATAAGGGCGCCCAATAATATTTTTGCTCAAATATCTTCCATGTACAGACAGCACTAACATTTTTATTATATTATGTATAGATTTACTTTTAAAAGTAGACATTTTAGAGTAATAACTTAAATATCTGATTATGGGCAGGGTCATCTGGGCAAGTATTATACATTTGCTCTTCCTCTGATGAACGAAGTAATCAGGGCTCACTTTTTTTTTTAAATTACTTCAATGCATATGCGGCTTCCCAGGTATTGTGGATAACTATAGGCGATTGTAATCATTTTTAGGGGTTTGCATAATCTCATATATAAAAAGTTAATTCTGTTAATTCTGTATGAGGATCCAAATAATCATTCAATAATTCACTTTATTATAATTTGGATACCAATCAAGTTGGCAGTGTCCAACTATGATTAGTAAATAAACCAATCTTTTGATATTTTCACAAAAGTTTGGGAAAGTTTTTCTTTATAACACGATTTCTTCATGACTGTGACATGTACTAAAGCTAATCTTATTTGATTTTTATATCGTGATATAAAACATAAAAAGCCGTGATAGCTCAGTGTCCGGGCGGCTCGCCTTTAATTTATTGAATTAATTAATAAATTAATACTCGAGCAACATGCGTTCGATCCCCGGTGCCGGCACCAGTGAAGTTTTTAACTTTAATTGCTGACTTATCATGTGCTCCGCGGTGAAGGAAAACATCGTGAGGAAACTTGCATATTTTCTAAATAATAACAAAAAAATATATATTTCGAAGATATGTGAAGTCCGCCAATCCGCCGTGGAGCCGCGTGGAGCCGCTATGCCCTGATACCCACTGTAAAGAGGAGGCCTTTGCCCAGTAGTGGGACATGTATAGGCTGTTACTTTTCTTTTTTTTTATGGTGACATGAGAACATGAATATTTTGAAAGCTACTTTTCCCCTTAAATCTTGAACTCTACAATAATATGTCGCTCATTTATGTAACTTTTGCCCAAAGTATAATCTGCCTAAAACAAAACAGAAAATGGTTTCTTCAATTATGTCTTCAATTATATAATCATACATTTCATTTTCTTTTGCCTTACCATTTGGTTTTCTTTCTGTTTTGTTAATGGAATAATACATTATCAATACATAAAATGCATTGCTTCTTTAAATTTAACAGAGTTTTCAATTAGTTTTCACACAAAAATGTTATTCAATTATTAATAATTTTAAACTGGCCTGGTTTTTAAGATCTAGGTGCTGATAGAAAATGTGAAATTTAAAGACTTAATGTATCTTATGCATAAGAGATTTAATTTCTAGAAGATGCAGAGACAACAGTCTCATTCCAACTTGTGCTCATATAAAAAGGGTATCAGGTGAAACACCAAGATCTTAACCAAGCCAGTATAAAATTGTTATTGCTCAAAAATAATCTAATCTATGCAACATATATAAGGTTATAGACAATTCAGTAAGTGAACTAAAAACATTGTGAATACTAAATAACAAAACATAGATTCTAAATACATATTCTAACAATATTTTGTAGAAACCAATTGGCAGTTTCTCAAAATGAAAACAAAGAAAAAATGCATCGTTTTGCTTTAGAAGAGAAATATATTCGAGACGAGAATCTTCGTTTACAACGGAAACTACAGCAAGAGGTAAACCCTAACTCCATCATTTTATTTTTAGATGTTTTTATTAATTTTACTACAAATTATTTTTTTAAACTATGGTTAGTTTCGTGTTGTATAATTCTAATAAGTTTTTTCTTCAGGTCGAGCGCCGGGAAGCGTTATGCCGGCATCTTTCTGAGAGTGAATCCTCATTAGAAATGGAAGAAGAAAGGCAGTTCAATGAGGCAATGAGTGTAAGAGTGAATTTTTTTGTTTGTCTTTTTACGAATTGCTAATTCTCTATCAGCCCCTCGTAATGAGTGTAAATTTAAATTGCCGAAAATGTAAATTTACAATAGGCTTAGTTCCACGAAAATATAATCACTACAAAATATTAAACAATAAGTTTTGTCTTCAAATGAGAGGGTAAGTTAATTTGCTATGAATTGCACAATGTACGGCATCTATTATATAGATTTTAATTATAATTAACCACAAAAGTGTATATATACTTTTTAACTTCAGACCAACACAGTCTAGAATACAACATTGAATTCTTTTACTAATACTATGTATGTAATGGTAAGTGTAGTGTAATTGTGGCACTGGCAGGAGATTATAGTGTTTATGTGAATTCTGCATTGAGATGGAAATGCATACAACCTTACACAGAATATTTAAGAGACAAGGAATTGAAAAATATAATATTGCATTGTCAAACGAAACACTAGATGGATAGATCCAAGTTTAGATGATACAAGCAATGGCACTATCATGGTTACCAAATTAACTCGCTCTTCTATTTTTATTATAGAATAGGGCCCCGGCTACCTCACTCACCCGACGAAACGCAGAAGTGTAATACTTATACTTTACGCTGGTCTTCTGTGTACTGCCGGTCGGTCGTGGTACTTACCCGGGTAAGTAAGCCCGTCCGGACGGGCCTGCCCATTCGTGCAACAGCGAGGACTGTTGCTTGGTCCTACCACATTTAAAATTGTTGTAGCTTTAAATTTGTTTATTTATCAAGTGGTCTCTTATTAAAATTTAACTCGCAAATTAAATTATTGTAAATCAAACCTAGATAGCGATTTAGTTTAGTGGCTAAAGCGTCAGGCCGCGAATGCCGAAGACGTGGTTTCGATTCCCACAGCGGCGACAATCTTTTCTTACAAATTTTAATAATTATACGAAAATCAGTTGTATCTTCGAAACTATGAGATATATGTCCAAGTCCCATAGACATTTTTGATGATCGTAGTAAATGAGTGGGCCGTTAAGAAGGCAATATGTGTCTGTTACTTGGATTATCATCTTATAGGCTCGATCTCGGAGCGTTTCGTCGCCGGGCGGTTCGCGTCCGCTGTCCCCGTACGCTTCGCCCCTCCTGCCCAACGCTTCTGGACTGCCCATGTCGCGGCCCAATCTGCACTTCAATTCGCAGGTACGCCTAACGACAACGAACGAAGCGATCCGATTGCATATGCGTATGAGAATATATTCATTCATTTCAACTTAATTTTTACACCTTAAGCTAAGGGCTACAATGGCAACTTGATGCCTAATGTCATTCACTATCAGTTAACACTTTCATGGTGTACACATGCATGTGTGTATGTATTTATGTATAATTATATTTATCTAAAATGTGTAAAGTATGTATTGTTTTGTTCATTAGTAAATTAAACTAACAGCCTATAAATGACCCACTGCTGGGCAGGGTCCTCCTATGTAAAGAGGGTTTCAGGGCATTGTCCACCACGCGACCCCACTGCCGATTGGCGGACTTCACATATTTTCGAATTTTTTTAAATTTATTATTTCATTAATTTTGTTTAATCCTCATTAATATTATAAAGGCGAAAGTTTGTATGTCTTTCACGCAAACACTGCTGAATGGATTTTAATGAAACTTTACAATAATATAGCTTACATATCAGAATAAGCCATAGGCTACAATTTATATACATATTTTATGTATATCTGTCTTTCTGTCTGAATGTTACGCCTTCAGCCTATTCTACGCAGACGTAGTCGCGGGCAGCGGCTAGTTCATTTATAATTACACTGTCCTGTTGCCTTCAGGCGAGGCGGGGCACCAGCGAGCGGTTCGTGAAGCCGGCGGTGCCGCCGGGCGTGCCGCTGCTCGGGCGCGCCGCCCCGCCCGAGCCGGCCGGCGCCCACCCCGCCCCCGCGCCGCCGCCCCCCGCCCTCGCCCAGCCCTCCAGCCCGATGGACACCTCCACAAAGGACTAAGCAATCCCCCAGACTCACCACTCACCACTCGAGGCTGCAGCGGTGCCCCCACAGCTTCGCACATCGCACCGCTATGGCGGTACTAAGTCATGCTTCAAAAAAAAAAAACAAACAACACCAGCTACCAGTCGTGCCTTGACCGTGAGCGATGACGTAACGATCACCCTTACCGCTACCTTGCATGATCATGATCAGTGCGTGTAATGAATCGCTTAATAATACTGCCTCATATTATAGATTACTTTAGTCCAAAAGTAATCTATCATCACAATATCGTTTTTCAACCCTGCCCGCGACGATATCATCCCATAGGGAAATTTTCCAACGCACTGCACGAAATCCCTCCGATACTTAAATACTATGTCTAGTTCAATGTCTTAGCGAACTTCCTTGTGGTATACAAGTTTTGCGATGCTGGTGACTCTTCAAATTGTATGAAATTTCATTCCTTTATAATAGATTCTAAAAATCTTATAATTATCATAATTGAGTTGACCACCGCTAGAAGTTTATATCAATGACGATTTTACGAAATGTTTTTATACGTTATACGTGAATTCTGTTTTCAATATACAATGTTCATTAAATTGCGATGTCGTCGACAGTCTCATAAATGTATTAAATTTCGACTAATACTAAAGTAATGCACAATAAGAAGAGTTGAAAATATAAGTTTTGTCCTGAATTTACTTTAAATAGTCTTTCTCTGCTAATATTCGAGATTATATGATTTTAAGTATAACACACTTTTACTATTACTAATTCAGATTCTGTTTAACAGTTAAACAGAAAAAGTGATTTTGAACCTTTACGAAAATCTTATTGTCAATATTTTAAAATTATGTGATATAAATTTACTAACACATACAAATGTGACACTGCCTTGGCAGAAAAAAAAGCGTTATGATTTTATATGAATAATGTCCAATAACTTTTCATTGTAACTATATTAGCTTGATCGATATTTTAGGCATGGCTGAAGCTTGGTTTTGGTTTATTTTTATTGCTAAAGTATAGTATACATAGCTTGGTAAAATCATATATTGGTGGATGTGTATGACTGGTATGTTCCGATAATATCTATGGAATGTTTAGTCGTATAATTTCTGAATAAAGCGATTCAGGGTTCTTTCAGTCAAGCCACAATTGTGTATGGCGGTCGGAGCGCATTAGGTCCTGTTATTAATGGCTCATATTTTGAAAACAAACAAATTTTAATGTTGAACATAACTATTTCATCAAAAAAGGTGTATTAAAGAGATTCCTAATTTGATGATCCGATGTTCCTTGTTACTGAGAAAGTGGTGGATTATTAAATTAAAAACTTTGATGTTTATTTAGGTCATGTGATAAAATGACGCAATATACAGTAGCGAGTTGATATTATTGAAAGGAGGCACTACTTTTGTTTACTTTTACGTCGATACAAATGTGTTGATTAATAATTTTGTCATCATGTCAATGCGAACACAGTGGCTGGTATGTATGGCTTAAAACATAGTGAAGTTGTAGATCTGTGCGAAATTGGTGGATGTTATTTTAAGGTCACGATCTTGCTATACATCCTTATAATACATGCATCCCGCTCACTGCCCAAGTGACTGCGCGCCCCCAATTCAACTTATATTCCGCCTTTGCTGTTATTATGATATATAATTGAGTGAGCCCTGCATTTCGAAGGACGGAGACAATCTCTGGAGCACTTAGATTACACCGCTTATTAGGAGGCGCGTTAGTCCTCTTTAAAAGACGTTTCCTTATTATAGATCGACTCATAAAATTGTTTCTCTGGTACGGTTTTATAGCCTCGTTTCAAAGGCAGTGGGTCTATTTATAGGCTGTGTTAAATTCACATGTGAATAAGGGTTATAGGAGATTAAAGATTGTAATGTATTCAATATATCACACTCGGTATCTAAAGCGCTACTTCCAGGTGTTGATTGAGTGTATTGTATGATATATGATTATTTTAAGTATGTTTTGTTGTGCTCTCAAGAGCGAATTTGTTGTATTCGGTGGACACTCGCGGGATAGTGCCTGTCTGCCTATTGACTCTATTCAACTGTGCAAATTTTCACTTAAACGTTTTTTTTTTTCAATGTTAATAAAAGAAAATATATGCATTAATATTTCCTTGGCTTTTATTTTATGGATAAATTTTCGACACTTAAATCACAGAGTAAATAAATGTTAGGATAAAATAAATGCTGCACAAAATCTGAAACTGTGAGTGAATGTGACTGTGACCAAGAAAATCGGTAATTTTGTGAATTTGCGCGAAAAATAACACATTTCATGAGCAAAATCATCGGTATAATAGCAATATCGTTAGACTATCAATTACACTCAATCCTTTTCGTAATCTACACTAACATGGATTTAACACGGGAAATTTTTTCTAGTAGGATGCTCTAAGATTTTAAGTGTAATTTGACTGACAGCAGAGCCTCGTTTGGATTTAATCTGCGCGCTTTTGGCGATGAAGCACCATGCCAGACGACTCTTTATAGCTGGTTTGTGGAATACAAGCGCGGTCGTGTCAATCTCAGTGGCGAATATCGCGATGGTATTGTGTGTGGAGTACTGTTGCCAAATCTGGGATGCGGCTGCAAAATGCCATCTTGCCTTAGACTCAATGGAGAGGCGCGTGGGTAGGCTTATTGGTGACCGATACTTGGTCAAAACCAACCTTACTATCCTTGAGCACAGGCGCAGGATGCATTTTGGAGAGCGTGCGTTGAAGTGCGTTTGATTCCTCCTGCCCCTTTCAATTATCGTAGAACTAGGCGTTCGGCGAGGCTCCACCCTTATGCTGTCGACGATCCACCCATAGGAACAAAGCGATTCACTTCGTCATTTATCATCCGTACAACTAGGGAATGGAACAACCTGCCGGCGTCCGTCTGTTCGTTCGATTACAACGTAGGCATCTATAAGGCAAGAGTGAATAGGTTTTTACTGAGTTAGCGCGCTCACCATCAAAAGATGCATCGCATCTTACCATCAGGTGGGATGGCATTCAAGTGCTGGCTAGTTATTAATTAAAAATGGTCGCCCATCCACCACTGTGAACAACAAAAACGTCGATGCTGTGCGCCGAATGGTCGAAACAGACATGCATGTGACCTACCATGAGATTCGGGCATCCTTGGGCATAGGCATTAGTCAAATACAATCAATAAATACTACACAAACATTTAGGTGTGAGAAAGCTATGCTCGCGGTGGATCCCACCCAATTTGACCGAGGCTCAAAAAACGAACCGCGTCACTTGGTGCAATGCCATGCTTACCAGGTTCACAGATCACAAAGCAGCAATCGAGCGTATGGTTCTTTCAAGATGAGCCAAAACCAACCAAAGCGGCGCGCGTGAAAAGTGTATCTAAACGAATGATTGCTGGCTACTATTGCTTTATAGAAGCGTCATACCGTGAATAGTGACAACCATTACACAATACAGTACCAGTACAATTTACTACCATTTGTTTGCTGGAAGTTATTGACGGACTGCGTAAAAATAACCGTAAACGCCGTATCATATTGCACCACGACCATGCTAGTTCCTACACGGCCAGACAAACAAACGAATCTTTGAAGGTGAAAAACCTAGAACTTATGAGCTTACGCTGCATACAGTCCCGACCTGCAATTTGATTTTTTTTCTGTTCCCAAAAATTAAGAAACAATTACGCGGTCAAAGATTTTCTACAACAGAAGAGGCTGTCGAAGAGTAGGAAAAACACGTTTATGAGGTCACCACGGAGGAGTGGCACAAATGTTTTGAAAATTGGTTTGATCGTATGAATCGTATAAAAAGTGCATCTACGCAAAAAAATTACTATTAATTGATTTTTCTTAATCATTTTTTTGAATTTTTTTTCTTATCCATTTCGTAAACTTTTAGGTTACTACCATTGAATTTGGTTTTTGTATGAAATAAGTTAAAGTATTTTATATCTGCTATTCAAAGTAATCAACCATGCAGCTTTGCTAACGCAGTGGTATTTTACTGATGCCCTTCTTGTTAAAATCAGCTGGATGAGAGGCAACCAAATCGTCAAAGGCATTTTGTACTGCCTCTCGGGAACTGAATTTTTTTCCCGCTAAAAAGTTGTCCAAATTTTGGAAAAAGTAATCGGTACGTGCTGGTGAGTATGGTTGAAATGAAAGTTTCTAAACACAACTGTAGCCTGGAGACTGTTTATTGTGCCTGTTGAGCAGCGCGAGGCAGGTCTCGAGGCTTCATAATTAATTGCCTTTAGGTCATCATTGTTGACCAGTGTCCGGACGACCACCAGGTTAAATTTTCAAGTAAAAATTTCCAGAACGGAACCGGGCAAACCAATAACGGGTTTTGCGTTGGTTTGTAAAGTTGAAATTGTGATGGAAATAATGTTTAAAAATCTTGAATATGATTTTTTTTACGGTAGAGTCATATGTGTGTGACATAAGTGCAGTTCCTGATTTAACGTGAATATCGGGGGAGATACGACGGTCTCCTGTATTTTTTTATTTGAACATTTAAGAAACGAGCAGGCGGTTCTTATAATGTTAAATATTTTCCACCGTCCATGGACATCTACAACACCTGAGGTGTTATAGACGTCCATACTAATAATACACTTACACTTCACGCCGTTCTTCTATGAGACAGATAAATCTGCCCGTGCAACAGCCGAAGTTTTTGCGTGGCCCTAAAACGGTAAAAGTGCGTGAGTTGTCCGTGCTTAAAACTTCCGACTTGGAGAAAATTTAGTAACCAACGTCTTAAAGGTGGCAACGCAACCACACTCCCATGTAAAATGATGAATATCATTTGCTCATTTGACACCTCGCATAAAAAAATGGAAACAAATCAGTCCGCGACCTGTTGATGTAAACTCGGTATTTACAAGACATATATCCGTTCACGCCTGACCTACGCAACCCCACCGTAGTATGGGCTGCCTGTCACGCAGAAAAGCATGCTACAGGCGCAGATTTTTTTTCTCATTTAA